CTTGACTCCAAAATCAATAGGGGTCATCTACTGGTCATGACCAATCACCATACCAAGTTTGAAGTTCCTAGGCCTTAAGGTTCTTTAGTTATTGATCGGAAACCGTTTTTGCTTTCAAGGTCAATGTGACCTTGACCTTTGACCCCTTGACCCCAAAATCAATAGGGGTCATCTACTGGTCATGACCAATCACCATACCAAGTTTGAAGTTCCTAGGCCTTAACGTTCTTTAGTTATTGATCGGAAACCGTTTTTGCTTTCAAGGTCAATGTGACCTTGACCTTTGACCCCTTGACCCCAAAATCAATAGGGGTCATCTACTGGTCATGACCAATCACCATACCAAGTTTGAAGTTCCTAGGCCTAAGGGTTCTTTAGTTATCACTCGGAAACCATTTGGTCTACGGACCGACGGACCGACGGACCGACGGACCGACAAGTGCAAAGCAATATACCCCCTTTTTTCAAAATGGGGGCATAAAAAGTACAATTGAAATATCTTAAACATATATTAGGCCTAGAATCTAGTACACCAACTTGTATTGTGTACGGCGAATGTGGTGTTAAACCAATTTCTATTGATATTGATTGTAGAATGATAAATATTTGTACTAAGAAAAAGAATGCTAGATCATAATTATTTAAGACATCCAAATATATCAACTTTTAAATCTATTATGAATATGACTCATTGTATTGAATAAAGAAATTTTTGTTTATTTATTAAGGAAATAATCACAAAATTTGAGAATAGTTAACATTTCTACATCTTTGTTCATCATGTCCTTGAAAATGCGTGTTTCTCTCCATTTTGTTAAGATGAGTTGTATTAATATTATTATTTTCATGTGTATGCTATGCCTCTTTATGTAATGTACGTTTATATGCTATAGCTCATATTGTCATGTGTGTACATGAATTGAGTTCTGAAAATAAACTTTGAAACTTTGAAACCATATCTTCATTTGGTAAACGTTAACAAATTCCGTGTTTGTTTAACACGATTACGCTTAGCATCGCATAGACTTTTTATTGAAAGTGGCTGATGGACTAGACCTGTAAACACTCCAGTAAATGAACTGAAATGTACTTTTTGCGATAAATTAGAGGACGAATATCATTTTGTTTTAGAATGTGTGTTATATAACGATTTGAGAAAGCAATTTGTACCAACCTTTTATTACAGACGACCAAAAATACAAAATTGTGTTGATTTAATTACTACAAAATGTAAACGTGTCATAAGAAATTTAAGAACATGTGTAGAAAAAGCATTCACTAACTTTACTTAAACTTATCTTTCAAGATGTAATGATGTGAATTTTGTTTAGCACGACCCTTATATGCCTTTCTTGTTTATCACGTAGCTTTGTAAAATGTAAACTCATTATGTACAATTACAGTAAATCCATATGTCAATCAACTTGCTACTTCCGTTTTTGTGCAATGGATGACTGATGGACTTAACTCTTGTGGCAGACGAGGTCAAACATGTTTTGCTAAAGGGATTTTTAATACGTATACAAGTATCTTATAAAGTATGTTCGAAGAAAAAGTTAAATAATTGCGGTTAAACATGAAGATAATGGTATTCATGTATCGAATGAACAGAGATATCTCAATGTTGAAAAGAATGTTTTTTAAAATTACTGATAGGTCTTTAAAGGATTCCACTGAGGAGTTTTTTGACATGTCTACTTGACGAGATATGCACGTCAAGACCAATAATTTGTGTACAAAATTTCAGATCATTACATCGGCCCGCTTTTTCAGTATCATCCATTTTTGTGCAATATGACATAAAAATGAAAAGCATTTCAACGTTTTTCACTTAAGTCGAACCAAAAAGCTGACAGAAATTGATTTTCAATTTGATTTTGAGCATATTTTTTTATTATCGTTTGTATATTTTTTTATTTTAAAATCCTTCACTTAATTGTTTTAAAGAATCAACTGTTTTTAGACTTTTGTCCTCAATTGAGCTCCTTTAACATCAAATGAGAAGGGTCTCAAGACATCCTAGTAATCTTTTGCTACAAACACAAGGGCACAAAGAAAGAACATAAGCAGATAGTAATCAGAGGGTTAGTGAATAAGCTTATATGACATATATAATACAAGTTTAGATTACCAAAATTCCTTCTAGGGCAACACTTAATCAATTACTCGTAATATGGCTTTAAACAGGAGTCCAGGTATAGAAGCTGGAAAAAAGATTTACATGTGTCATTAAAGATAAATATTCATAAAAATTAATAGAGTTCTCAGAAACAAAATCGTAGGTAATGCTGCTGATAATAAATTGAACATGATGCTGGCTTGATGATGTAACCGATAAATTCATTTACAATGAAGAACTATGGTCGTGCACTCACGCTTGATTACTGTTAATCTGTATCATGTAGATGTGGTTACCTTTGACTTGAAACTGACTATAACTGACCGGACAATTAAACCTTCAAATAGACCATACGCAACAAACAAATAGACTAGTCCAATTTGAAGGGAGAGCACTACGTATTTACAGACAACGAAGAAATTATATTAACACAAAAAAATGACATAAATATTGTAGACCAGATACAATGTGTGGTCAATAATAACGTATTTGCCATTTTTTTGTAAACTTTGCTACTTTAGTTCAATGATCACAATTATATTGTTTTGTGTCGTCAGCTACTAATAACTGTGTTTACCTATAAACTAAAAGTAAAACTTCCTGATATCAAAATGGCGCTGTATGTCCACAAAACAAAATGGCACACTCCATATACATTCTGAAATGCTTTGGATTTCTAAGTGAATTTTAATATCGTCAAGTCTCAGTGAGTTTCATCAAACATAGTTATTTCTTCTCATGAGAAGGAAGAGTAACAACGCAAATACATTTCTCGAACTTTGATTGGCTTAAACTCTTTGTACACTTCATCAGGTCATATGTATCTCATTCAGGCTATATTTCTCCGTCTATCCCGTCAGCAAATGTTATGACTTATAATATATGTCGGTCATTTTGGATAACGGAGGAAGGGAGATCAACACCATATGTTAGGTAACTCTTGAGGAAAAAACAGAGAAATTCATCAGTTTGTTAGAAGTGAACAAAATACGAGTTTGTTAATCTGTAATCAATTGCGATAAAGAATGCACAAGTTGGCAAAGTAGAGATTAGTATTAGAAACCGTTTAAGCATGAAATATTTATTGTAACATGCTAAAAGGGTGCTTGTCTAATCGAAACATTTTCCCCGCCCACGGTCTTTATTAGCGTGCATCTGCAATAAGCCAATTTGCATATGTAACATAATTATAGAGGCAAGCTTTGCAGAAAACTGTTTGAATTATAATAACTTGCGCATGATTGATAGGACGAATTTTTCCTTTTTTCTTTTTATAATCATGTAATTGATAACAGTATTTTATGGAATTAATAGTGTTTTTTTTTATTTGTACAGTTAAAGTGTAATTGGTTCTTTGAGATGAAACAAATTATTACGGTAGCAAAATGATTCGTTGGGGCTTTAGTGTAATTCAGGATTTAATTGTGCAAATTGAAAAGTTTTGGCTAAGCAATGAGTTATGGGTAGTCTTAATCAATACTTAAAGGCGGAGTTAAGTCAATGATTTTTGACGGATTATGTGACAAGAGATATACAGGGATTACGCGGTTACTTGTAGGCGTAGTACAGTCAATAAGTCATGTACTTTTATCGTATGGTAACCCTTATTGCAAACGTTTTATATTTAATATGGTCAGTAAAATTTTTTTGATTGGTTATATGACCCTATATAAGCGGTTGTTTGGATATACATGTAAGCGGATATATAACCTATCAGAAATATTTATAACATATTTATAATACCGCATTTTTTTAATTTTTTTTTTTTTGAGATAAAAAAGATTTTTTTTCCGTAAATTGACAACAGCCGTGTATATTATTAGTTATAAAGATCGTTGACAGGTTATATGGCCCTATATAAACGGCTATTTGTAAATATACCGGCGAGGGTTATATTGCAAACAGCCGTTTATATACGGTCATATAACCTGTCAACGATCTTTATAACGAATTTATAATACAGCAAGCATCATTTTTAGAGAAAAAAAGTAAGACTTCTTCATGAATCGACAGCAGCCGTGTATATAAAACTATATAAACGTCACGATTATCCAATGAAAAATGACGTTACAAACGTGCAGTATTATAATAAACTATATAAACGTCAAGACAATCCAATAAAAAGCGACGTTACAAACGCCTAGTATCATAAATACATTAAACATGTATTTTAACCAGACAATTCTTTAGTATTCTTTTGAACAACAAACCGCCAAATACATCTGCATACATTTATAATTCAATTTTAATAATTATTTTACTTTGTGGCTGAACTTAATTGACTTCATTTTGTAAAATAAACAGCAACTTTATAGAGTACTTGAAATGGCGTCAGGCTGTTGCAAGCACAACCTGTAAAATATTAATAATGATAATAATAGTAATAATAATCATATGTTTCTTCCATATTAACGCTGACAAAGCATCATCTAATCTGGTTACGTGCGGTTTTTCAGGCAAAAGCGGTCATACACCTCGATTGATGCCTGAAGACGACAGATACTGGACAAAATGTATCACATTGTGTTAATAACAAAATCTGTACTTTGTGAATTAGCAAAGCCATCGGTATCCACATTCCAATGCATTCAGACACGTTACTTCACTTATAAAGCAAATATACCGGGAGTTGTTGAAGGTACATGAAAGGTTAAGTATGACTAAAACTTTATTATGTTATCAAAAAGATATGATATGCAAATATTAAACGGATTGTTAAGATAATCCATCTTTTATACCTTAACGGATATAACAGATGGCGAGAAAAACTGTTTTGTTACAATAAAAAGATATTAGCATATAAATTATTTGCTTAACGTCAACGCAACTAAATGACCGACCAATAAGATTCGTCGTTACATATTGTCTTTCGGGATCAAGAACAATTTTCATCACGGAAAACTCCAAGAAGAATCTGGAGAAATTGGACGTTATAGCAGTCGGGCTGTGCGCATTATAGTGGACACCTTGTTATCTTTTTATATAAAAGGTGTAGTCAGGAGCCCGACGAATAGGGGATATCTTAAAAATATGATTAACTTGCCGATATGGACCTTTTTAGTCCTAGCGGCTACCGTATCCCAAGGTATGTGTGCTGTATAGTACTTTCTTTTTTGAGCAAAAATATACATTTTTCTTCTTGACAGTTTAAAGGTTAAATATTTATCTGAAATCTTGTAATCGTATGGTTCCAATTTGTTAAATGTTAATTAAATGTAATCAAATTATACTTGTGTTTGACTTGATAAACTTTACTGACAAATTAAAAAAAAAAATCTTTTATTTTAGGACAAGCCAAGAAGATGAGTAAGTAATCACTTATTATGTATAAAACATATGTCGGTAAATAACTTAGTGTAATTTAAAACCTATGCATATTAGTTTAGCGACACCAAGTACCGTTTCACAATTCACCCGAGTTTAGCGACACTAAGTACCGTTTCACCATTCACCCGAGAATTATTGACAATTATCATGAATTGATGAAAATTTAAAAAAAAAAGAACAAAAAAAAAAAAAAGAACAAAAAAAGTCATTTAATATGCAACGCATGTCCGTCAACCAGTGAAATTGTTCACACTGACCTAACCACGATATAAGGACACGGAAGTCTAAAGAAATAGTACATACCTATTAAATACATGCGCTAAACATCTGCTCAATGATAGTCACAAGTTCCCGGCTACTCCACTCAAATCAATTTCTATGTTTCACTTGCGATAATTCTTACAGGTATTCGGCCAAAACGGTTAATAAAATTTACTTGTACGTGCTTACACTTTATTTTATAAGTTTATTAGTTTGAACGATAGTTATAACATATAAACAAACTGAATAGACAGAAAAACGAAAAGAAAAAAAAACAAACAAAACAAAACACAAAAAAACACACAAAAAACGCGGGTATAATTGAATTTTTTTTTTATTATAGTATATGTGTAACACATAGATATTCGTTCCCGCTGGTGATTCAATTAAATTCATTATACTCATCTATAACATCTTAAAAATATAAATATGTCTTTACATCACGATTTGCTTATATCATAATACTAAGAATTAATTAAATAATTAATAAATCATCTCCGCTCTTGATAACTATCAGAGTCTTTTATGATATAAAATGTGTTCGTAATATATAGCTCTGCGTAAATATGAATATTTGAAAGTGTCCAGCAGTACGTTCCTTCTTTATTTTTCAAGGGAAAAGCTTATTCGACCCATTCCCGTAATTTCTTTTGCAATCTAAAGATAATAAGATGTCTGTTTTGAAGATCATATTTCATAGACAATCTTGCACAAGTTGTTTGTCCGTGGAAAATGGTGGCCATAACGATAACGAAAAGCGCTTGATTGAATAATCTGTTGATGACGGATTAACACATGCATCATTTTGTCGCGTTATAAAATAGTTATGTATAGTTTTTTTGGTCGGAGCGAAATGTCCGACTCAAGAGCGCTCTTTAATATTTACAACATATTCATTCAATTTAAAACATTTTAAAATCATAAATGATGCGACGCAAAAGATGCTGTTTTCTATCTTTTCTAATCCTAACACGAAAGAATGAATATATACACGATATAATATAGTTTAAATGACAAAGGTTTTATGTGGATATTCACAGCAATTATTTACCATTTTCTTACATTTTTATGGAGCTGTTAAAATTATTGTTTGAATTTTAAAAACGAATACTTCCAAAATGCAAGTATGAAACAAATATAGTAGTAAATTACATTAGAAATAAATGACACAGGTACAAAACCTTGCTTAACGAAAGAACACTACTTAAAATTGTAAAAAATATATTTTGTTTAGGAACATGATATTCTGTTTAGTTACAATATTTATACGTGTTGAATTACAGACAAGTCTTTCGAGAACCGCCCATAAAATTATAGAAGCAATATGATTTTACTGTTAATACATTTTATAAAAATATTTTCTATAAGATATAACTTTATACCGTTAAAAATCTTATTAATGTTTTATTTTCAAAATGATATAGTCATGTTCATCTTGATTTTTCCAGTTGAATGCGGTAGAGAAACAATAGACGCCGATTTAAACATTTGTTGTCACGGTGTGGCCAGCCTTAAATCGTTCGGAGATAACACTAAATGCTGTGGTGAAGTAAGCTTGAAAACTTTTTTAACCAGTATTTTTTTCCATTTGTCAATGTTATACTTATCAACCCTTAAATTTCTGAAATTTTTCAATGGAAGTTTCCAGCTTTTATTTTTGAAATTGTACGTTAATTAAATTTTTGAAATTGTACGTTGTTAAATTTTGGAATCTCCAGATGATAATTTCAAATCTGTCAGCCAACATTAAAGAGCCTATTCAGATTGCACAATAGTGCCGGATGGCCTGGCTCTATACTGGTGGTGGAGGCTAGTCACTTCGGATGTTTAAGAATACCGAAAGTTCCCATTCGTGTATTTATTCAAAATCAAGGCAGATATGCCCATCTTCCATTTACAAACTAGCTACCGCCTATATTACTGAAATTAAAATGAAGGAAAAAAACTAGCTAAGTTCCCGGCATGAAAGAACGTACTGTCCTTCATGGTATTCGAACCAGGGTTAAGAAATTCAACGGCAGTGACATTTACAACTTAGTCGTAATTAAGGGCTTCTTCCTCCTTCTTGTAAAATTGTGTTTCTTTGTTGTTTGTCTTTTTGTTTTAAATGATTTATACGAATATTATTTAAATTTAATCTAACTTTGAAATTGTTAAATTCAAACAGTCTTTAAAACAAACAGCACCCCATGGCCTCAATTTTTCCAGGAAATCATGATTGAAAAAACAACTTGTTGAGCGCAATTTAAATCAGAAATGAAAAATAACTCTTGACAAGCTTGTTATAAATGTATCACAGATATATAAACAATTTATCTCCATGATTCTATATTTATCTCCATGATTGTATTATATCACGTCACATCAAATTAAATCATCCCTTTTTATCAGTACGCATACAGTGATCAAGTAGAAACATGCTGTAATGGCTTACTCAATCCTGGATTCGGATTCAAAAACAGAGATGGCGTTTGCTGTGGCATGTTCAGGTAGCATTTTGTTTATTATCTCGGAACCATTTTGTTAATAATCAAGTTTGAAAATGTTTGAAACACCTTCTGAATTAATGTTTTAATTATATAATATTAATATTTCATTATTCAACTTTAATGGCTTTTCTGAGCAGATAAAGGAGTGCATATTAGCCGCGTCACGACAAAACCAACATAGTGGGTTTGCGACCAGCATGGATTCTGACCAGCCTGCGCATCCGCGCAGTCTGATCAGGATCCATGCTGTTCGCTATCGGTTTCTTTACTTGTAATAGGGTTTGTAAGCGAACAGCTTGTATTCTGATCAGACTGCGCGGATGCGCAGGCTGGTCTGGATCCATGCTGGTCGCAAACGCATTATGTTGGTTTTGTCGTGACGCGGCTCATTTACAATAATATCCATCAACTCAAGTTTAAAATTCTCTTATAATTAAGTGAAAATAAAAACACTTGAGTACACCCCACATGTAATGCTTTACCTGCAGGAACCGAAGATGATAATCGTTTGCCCAGACAAGCGTGAACATCCATGCAACATAACCAAGCGCTATAATATTGGTAGATTTTGATATTAAAATCCTTAAAAATTTGAGCAGAATTACCCAAACCCAAAGCTGGCCAAATTCATTATACATCTTCGGCAGGCTAAAGTTTTTATGACCGTTTGATATTTCAGTTACGATAAACGCTGTTTTCTATGTGAAAACGAACTTATCAAACCTCGATTTGACTTCCGGCACGAGATATGCTGCAACGGGAAAATAAATGAACTCAACGATAAAAAAACCTGCTGTTGTGGAGAAAAAACTATTGATCCAGCAGTTGATATTTGTTGTGACGGAGAAGTGCAGAAAAGAGACAAACAAGTGGCTAAAGACTGCTGCAGTAAGTCTCACCCTAAATTATTTCGCAAAGCAATTGCCCAGTTAAGTTTACCTTCACTGAAACTCGTTAAATTTGTCTGAAATAACCCGAATATTTTAAACATACTTAAATGTTTGTTAAAGATTTCTTATACATGTATTCATATTACTTTTATAAACTGACATTTCTTTTTATTTTAAACATTGAACGACACAGAAATGTTCAGAACGTAGAAAGAATAGTTTTTCATGGTGACTCAAATGGTTTTTACAAAGTTATGGAATTTTAGCGTTCTTATTTCACAGGAAATCAAGAATTTATATATGAAATATTTTTTTCAATCATTATTTTCTAGAACTAACTACAAGTATGGTTAACTAGAACCATTTTTATCACGACTTTCAATTCACAAATATTTCTCATTATTACGAACGTAGGTCTAAAGAACTATTTTCAAATAATTCCAACAATATTTATTACCTCTATTCTAAAACAGATTGTGGGTTGACAAAGGTCGATATTGTAATTGTGCTGGATGCCTCCGAAAGTATTCAAACTGAAAACTGGCCAAAAATGTTGAAATTCACAACAGAAATTTTAAGCGAGGCTGAAATAGACGAGGATAATGTGCGTGTTGGTCTGTTAACATATCGTCACAACACGACAGTAGAGTTTAATCTAAATGAATACCACGACAAGAAGCGAATGTTCGAAGCCATTGACAGTGTAATTATTCTTTAAAAACAGTTAACACTTTTGGGACTTTTAACTTTTATCTTAACATGCATTTGAATAATTATCACGTAATCTAATTCAGAGGCACAGTACCCTTAAATATTCAACTTGATTATCTTAAACATGCATTTGTAACTCATTTTTATATATCTACTATAGTTTTATACACGCGCGATTCTAAGATTACTTTCTATAAAGAGCTGCTGATTATAATTCTATAAATTCATTATATCCGTATTAACGCTGTTCATAAAACCCTGACGTCGTTTTTACAAGCTATAAGCTAACCTGTAGATCTATAACTCTATATATCGGTGTATTGTTACTTATCATGCATTTTTGGTTAATTGTTTTATTCCCATTCATAATTCATTTTTAAATATGAGGGGTTTTAGTTGATTAAAAAGGAGTCAGTCCTAAGAATCAAAAATGCAATAAATTACTACCAGGAACAATAGCTGTCAATGTACAAGTACTTGTTTGAGGTACGGCGTAATGACGGTAGCACAAAATGCACGATTTGGTTATCAATGCGTATGATTACTTGACCAAAATTTAGAATTTGGGTAATTCTAGTAAGATAAATTAAATAAATGATAAAGAATGACTGTATGTGTAACTGACTTAGTTATATATACGGACGTCGAGTTAGCGTTATATATACGGGCGTCAAGTTGGCGATCTTGTCTACATTGGTAGTCTCACATTGATTTAATGAATTTGTTCGCGGCCGTGCATTTTTCTCAAAAAGCTCATTGACAAATTTTCTAAATCATAACAAATAGTCTTTGCTTTTATGACTGATTGTAAGTACTCCCTTTAATAATTGAGATTCCAATGCCATATACACTCGTCCAATATAAAATGACATGATTTATTTATCTTTTCCCCAATTTAAGTGTAATACATATCATTTTTTTAAGAATATCTAGATTGCAGATATTCTAGAATAACTTTAAGATACTTTAAACAGATTACTCTTGTTTGCTTAAAAGTTGTCAGAATAAAATATCGTTTATTTTTGGTGTCTTTTTATTATAATTTAGACCAGATACGTCCGAGGAAGTACCAACACTGGTTTAGCTCTTGAAAAAACGAGAACAGACATGTTCACCATTGCTAACGGAGACAGACCGGAAGTTGATAACGTCTGCATTGTCGTTACTGACGGTGATTCCGACGACTATGATTTTACCGTTGGTAAGTCATTTACAAAGTCACGTGAAGCCACGTAAAATAACAGAACTTACCACTTGACAATCAGCTAATAACACGACCGATTCAAATAAATTACAACATGTTTATTTTAGCTTAATTTGGATGAAAACATGATGCTTACAGTGTTTAAGCGATTCTCATAGACAACAACTTAAACAATATGTATTTATATACATTTAAAACATTCAGTATATTATTAGTTATAAAGATTTTATGTTATCTAAAGCCGGCAGTATTTATTTCCGAGTTTTAGCTATGCATTTCTAATATTTCTGTCTTACGAATGTCGCAATATTCATTATTCTTTTATCTTAATATATTTTAATTTTCAGAACAAGCACGACTTGCTCGCGAGGCTGGTATTCACATTTTTGCTATTGGCATTAACCTGAAGAATTTGACTGAGTTGAACAATATTGCCACTCCACCCTCGGAACAAAATGTTATTAATATCACATCTTTCGACAATTTGAAGACGCTTAAAGGAAAGATCTTCTCATCTATCTGTACAGGTAATGTTTTGTTGTTATGAATTTAATTGAAAATTTAAGGCAATACAATGATACACGTCTCGGGGCCTACTTTATAATATGTCTCATATTATTAGGATTCGAGCAACATCATTATCATTAATATCATAATTATTATAACTATTATTATAGATGTTGTTATTATCTAATCATCATCATGACTGTTGACAATATTATTTTTTATCATTATCATCTTAGTTAGTGAGGTTAAATTGCCAGTCACAGATGTCACTATGTTAAAAACTTATCGTGCACATTTCATTAGACTCGAAATGCATATCCAAAGTGTACAGACAATGGGACGACATTCATAATTTAAATAGAATGATAACTATGATGATAATGATAAAAAATAATATTGTCAACAGTCATGATGATGATTAGATAATAACAACATCTATAATAATAATTATAATAATTATGATATTAATGATTATGATGTTGCTGATGATGATTATGATCAATGAATAATAACTATGATAAAAATGATATTTCAATAATTGTGTTTGTTTGTTTTGGGTTTTACGTCACATCGACACAGTATAGGTCATATCGTGAATTTCCAGCTTTACTAGTGGAGGAAGACCTCAGGTGCCCTTTCGTGCATTATTTCAGGCACGAACGGGCACCTGAGTAGAACCACCGACGTTCCGTAAGCTAGCTGGATAGCTTCCTCACATGAAAGAATTCAAAGTCCCTGTCGGGATTCAAACCCACAGCGGTGAGGGGCAAGTGATTTTCAATAATAATTATAATGATGATGAAGATGATGATGATGATGATAATGCGATGATGATGAAGACGACGGCGATGATGATAATGGTTTTTATTTCAATTTTTTTTATCTTTTCTAGACCAATTCTATCGCAAAAATTATAATTTCAGGTGTTCCAATTGAAAGGGAGTACGGTATGTATAAGAGCCATTTTTATCATATGTGGTTCTCTTCTTTTAGATATCGGCTTCTTTAGTGTTTTCAAATATGCAAAAACAACCAAAAGTGTTTCCAGTGCATCCGATACTAAAGAAAGTACCTCAAGAGTACATAATTTCAATTTAAAGTTTATTTTGATTAATTTTTTTAGACGCTGCTCTGGAAATACATGCATACACCATTCAGTCATTCAAATTTATGTGAATATTTAAGATTATACTTACATCAGGACTTGGTAAACTTTCGGAACGCATCTTAAAGAACAATTTAGGCACAACAACAGAAGAGAAGTTCTGAATTCCGATGTTGACTAAATTTACGCTAGCAATTCATGAATATATTAAAATGCACATGAAATTACTAATAAGAAGATGTATATGTGTACAATTTTGATATAATATACAAGTCAATCATAATGTTTGAAGTTTATTACTGTAGTGAAATGCGGGAAGACAGAATACTACAACCCGAAAAAAGAGATTTGTTGCAACGGAAACCCGCAAGCAATTATCACTGGTGAAGATACAAAATGCTGCGACCAAACTGGTTACAACGAGAAAAACCAAGTTTGCTGCAATGGTGAGTGTCTATCTGTGTGATGAAAAAAAATGAACATTTTTTTTTCTGTTTGTTTTGACATAATTATTTTAGTATAATTGTAACGAAAGATTTAGACTTATTTAAACAGCATTCGAGTCCGTCACCTGGAAACATAGATAGTCGTGACAAAGTAGGTGTCAAACTTACGATTCATAGGATAAGGAATATACACCGGAGCCACCAAACCATCTCTCTGTCAATATTTAGATCCAAGTTACAACGGTGCGTTTAAATCATAGCTCGACCTTTCAAACTAAACAAATTTGAGGAAGACAAATCATCTTTTGTTCGATCTTGAGCAGGCATTTCTGATTAGAGTAATTGTTTGTTATTGTGCTTGCTTGTAGCTAGTAGTCGCCTTACACATATAGAAATGGAAACTCTGAGGTACTGTTTGTATCACCAGCTGTGTGAGGCATGTGATTTGAGGTCCGGGACTTGCATCATTTATCCATGAAAGTACGCACTCATGAAATAAGTATGAATGTATTATTTATATGATAAAGACAAAAATTATAAAAGAAGTCAAAATATGATTTATATTACAAAAATCAGTATTCTTTATTGTGTAGGAGTTGTCAATGAATTGCGTGGACCAAAAACCGTTTGCTGCGGTAAGACATCGATGAATGAAGATGATGAACTTTGTTGTGGTGAAAGTCCAGTGCCACGTCCATCAAAAGATTACAACACTTGCTGTAAACAGTACGCATACAATCCAAAAACGGAGGTTTGTTGTGGAGGTATGTATGTTTACTTGGAGCGGTGCCCGTTTTCTTTCGTTTCTTTTATTGAAACCACAGAGATTAGATAATAACATAACTTACATACTTATAAATGAATATTGAGAAATATTGACGAAATAAAATGTGTATTTTTTATTTTCCGTATTTTCACTGTAAAAAATTATTTTTCACTGCAGTGAAACATATTATCCAAATTTTCACTGCTGTCTTGCCGGACTACTTTCTTCTAAATACAGCCAATACAAAAAATAAAAAGGAAATCTTCCTATTCGATTTCCTATTCATAAGGTTAAAAAAGAGGAGAAGCATTATTATAATAAACAGAAAATTCAAGTTTTTTTTTCTATTAATAAAGGATTTATTTTCATCTTGTGGTATGAAAATTATTATATTTCACTCGTGGCTATTGCCATTCATGAAATATTTATTTTCATACCACTCGATGAAAATAAATCCTTTATTTATAGAAGAGAAGAAACTTGAATATACTCTGTTAAGTTTTCTTGTATTTTATTGCATATACATACATAGAATGTTAATTAAAATGTACAGAATCAAAAGGTCTAAGCAAAAATAATGCGCACATAAGTAATCACCCCAATTCGCTGACAAATAGATACGTACTTCTAAAATATAGTTTTTTTTTTCAATTAGACTATTTTCAAGCATAACATTGTTGCAATAAGGAACACGTGAATAAATTCCCGTTACAATCAAGACATTGATAACTTTGAGTTATTTTTAAACGTTTGTTCTCTGAAGTTATATCTGTAGATGTTTATGATTGTTCATGTGTAAAGTTTCTTTTTTCCTGCATGTTCATCGATCCAATCATTTAGATCTATCTCAGTATCAAATGCAAAATTGTCATCGTTTGGTTTCTTCTCTGATTAAAAGCAAATAAATCTCTGCTTGTGAATATAAATAAATAGTATGTTCGTGTGATGATTCTTATTTATTGTTTACGAGGCAAAATGTTTTGTTTTGTGTTGACATTTTGTTTTGCTTTGTTTGTTCAGGATTTGTCAACAAAGCTTTTGGTAACCCATCAGAAGACACTGGTTGCTGTGGACCCTACTCTTATGATAAAAGATGCTTTGAATGTGCCAAGAAGAACGTCATTAAGCCTCTTTATGACACCAACTGTCAGCTTTGTTGCGATGGTGTCATACAGAGTTTGACCAACGAAGACAGTTGTTGTTGTGGAAAGAAGGTCTTCTCACCCTCTGATGGTGAAATTTGTTGCGATGACAAACTACGCAAACGAACTGGGGATGAAAAAAGTCACGACTGTTGTGGTTAGTTAATTCATTGAAGGAAATTTAAACACACACACACACACACACACACACACACACACATATATATATGGAGACTCCCACTTTCTGAAACCATATTTTCAAAGATTTTTCTTAAAATAAGGGGTATTTTCACAAATTAAAAATATCTCCCTCTTTTTGATGTCAGAACTTTCTTCTTTGTTTATTGCAAATTCTAAAATCTCCCTCTTTTTGAAGAAAAATCTTTTACTTGATCATAGAAAAAAGTTCACATGTATGTAAACAGTATTTTTGACATATTCATATAAATACATTAATACTGTCTTTATTGTCGAAGACATAGTTTTTTACGCCGGATCGTTCTTTTTATATTTAGCTTCATTTGTTTTTACTTTCCGCTTTTAGAATGTGGACAAACACTTGTAGATCTTGCCTTTGTCATCGACTCATCTGAAAGTGTCGGAACTAACAACTGGAATTCGCTGATAGAGTTCGTACAAAACATAATCCGTACGTCTGACGTGGACACGGGAAATACTCGAGTAGCTGTAGAAGTTTACAGGTAAATTAACTGTCATAATTTATATGTTTGGCTTCTGGTCAGTCTTGAATCTTAAATAATGATATATTTTATGACTATAATTTGATAAGGACCACTTGTTTTACAAGTACAAATGTTGCAGCAATGCAGCAATTGAGAAGCTCCGCGCAAAAATGTGCTAATTACAGATACCTTACCGAATTATTCCTACGCACAGGTCATGTTATATTCAGATTAAGTACTATTGTAGATTATTTCCGAATGTTTCTTAAACCATTTTTTGCATAATTATACTTATCTTATGCACTGTCCATAATTAAAAAGAGGGGAAAGATATTTAATATAAAAAATGCTTTCACTGATGCCTACCTGGTAAGGAAAGTAATTCCATTAAATACAAACAAGATTTACAAGACTTGTAAATGTTATGTGACATATATATTCATACTTTATTTTTGTCTCATTCGTATATATACATTTTTATACATATATACAAATATTCACATAAAATCTGCATACGACCATTCTATTTAAGAATTTCAAGAGACATTATATCATGAGAAACATATTCAAGACCTTTTACAGTTATACTAAAATTAAATAGTTAAATTACAATGTATTTAAACAAAATATTAAAAGTAAGGTAACCATCGCTAATCGAAAAATTAAAAAAAACTGCTAAGAAATTGAGAATTGTAAATCAGAGCACTAACGCGCGTATAAAAACATTTTAAAAAATCGACTGTAATGTGTTCTGTTTGTGTCACAACTGTAGTCAGTAACATAAGATGATGAAAATATCAAAGTCTGTTTTTTATTATTATAATTGTAACAAATATACAAATAGTAACAAAAGGGACTAATATTATAATATAGTAATATTACATGCATTTTTTCATGTCAAATTAAAAAAAATGGTTTCTTTCAATACTGAAAGTAGAACACACTCTGGAATGAAAAAATGGGATGAATTTCAAAAAGACCATATTCAGGATTTTGTTTGTTTGTTATACACGCGTTACATGGTGATACAGTATTTATCAACATAATAGAAGACTGTTACCTGAATTTTAGGTAGGTATGAGGAAATTCACTAACATGTTCGTGCGAGACAAACATATAAAAGCTATTTGACATTGGTAATATATAAAAAAAACTTTGTTAATTAATTTATTGGGAGATCAATATATATTTTTTGTTGAATTGCTTTAAAACCATTCATAAAAAAACATTACACTTCATGTTCAAACTGCAGATCACAGTTTCTGTTGTTATTATGATATCTATCTATAGCCTATTCTTAATGAGGGTCCATCCGCTCGTGAGGCCACAAAATGCAGCTTTCGCTGTCGAGTACGGACCCCCGAATATATCACCGAGTCATACCCTTATTATTTTTCTTTTTTACAAAGTGGTAAGCTGTATCAATGACGCTAATGAAATATAACACTATATACTAAAGATTAATTATTTCAAAACAACCAATATATCAACATGTTATTATTAAACATTTAATTTCATAAATATAAATTAAAAATAATTATCAAAAGCAAAATTGTTAAGGTCTTTTGCCTGAAATCATCTTTATATTGACAAATTCAATCACTAATAGTATACTTGATATGCTGTGTGTAAATGTAATTCAAAATGTAACAAATTATAATTTCATGTACTACTAAAAAGGGGAAATAACAAATTTATAACCTAAGTGTCAAAAATCAGAACATTTATAGCTATTTATAGCTTTCGAATTCATGTAGAGCAGAACTGCTTTCCGGTTCTCATCCATTAATATGACATGCTGCGAATCACCGACGGGGAAACCATTATAGAAATCGAAAGGAGTTCTTGAATGCGGATTTACTTTTAGCTGTAAATCGAAAGGATTTATTGATCAAATCCGGGCCCATGGACAAAAAAAAAATATTAAGCACAAATAGCTTCGCGCCTGTTGGCGCGGAGCAATAATGTTAGACTAAATAATATAAATGTTTTATGTATTGAATAGCACGATTATATGGGTATCACTGATCACAACTGTTAAAAATTCATTATGCATTTGAGTCACGACAAAACCAACATAGTGCGTTTGCGACCAGCATGGATCCAGATCAGCCTGTGCATCCGCGCAGTCTGATCAGGATCCATGCTGTTCAATAATCCTGATTATTAAACTTTATTGCCAAGTATAAGTTAAAATCATTACTTCACAAACGCATTATTGTTAGGTTTTTGGGGACACGTTATTTGTTCTTAATTAAAAGGGGGTTTCAATTCAAATGTATATGTGATAATTTTGATACAAAGGAAATACTTACGCCTGTGACATAGAATAGCTTTTTATTTCAAAATTCATGTACAGCAAACGCTTTCACCTTTATCATGCGCGAATTGTAGCACTGTGCCCATGAATTCAAAGAGAATTGAATGATTCTTTTAAGTTAAATGAACTATATTTTCAATCGCCCAGGACAAACAATTTAACTGCTTGTAGCCTTTGCGCGGAGCAATACTTTACAAAAAAAATTCTTATTATTAATGAATATACTTACTGTTCACAACGTATTATTGCATTTGAGTCAGACAAACCAACAAGTGCTTTTAGCGACAGCAAGAGACTCTTTTCAATTTTAGCAGCAAAATTTTGTTTTAACGTTTTGCTTTATGCCATATGTTTCAGTTTGGATCGGAATATCAGTCTCGGGGGTAGCCACCTATTGGGTGGTCTCGAGGCTTGTTGAGAGGATAAGCTTATAAAAAAAGTTTTGGCACATTGCCTTAGCTTCACGTTTGAGTATGCTGCCGATTTAGGGCAGCATACTCGTGTGTGCAGTGTAACTAAATGCTACACGCGTGGCTGCTTATCTTTAGTATCAAGAGTTTGCAAGTCTGTTCAAAAATGAAAGTTGGGCAAATTCTATGAATGTGAGAGGTGTAAGAATTAAGCTAAATCAAAGTGGAAAACAGATTTTATTATTATGAATATAAACGTTTTTATTTTTCTTGCATCATTACATGTCTTTAACGCCTGTTTTGTATTTTTCATACGTATTCCCACTATACCAAACTGCATTGTTGTATTTCAGACACAATGTTTCGATGGAGTTTAAGTTTAACAACTACCTGAGGTCACAGAACATGATCGACCACGTGGGCAGAATTGATTACGTCCGCGGAAGCACAAATACAGGATTAGCGTTACAAGAGATGAGAGAGAAGATTTTTGTTCCAAAGGCTGGAGACAGACCGAACGTTCCTAATATGGCCATTGTTATTCTCGATGGTAATATATTTACACACATTCTGTGCATATCTGGATTAATTACATGACTTATCAGTGTGAGGTATGAATCTAGAGTGCTATCTACTATCTCTCTATCGTAAAAATCAATAATTTTTGTTTTTCATTGAAAAATAGAAAGAAGTTGATAACTATATCCCTTTTTATTTCCGCTATCGCGATTCACTTTGCTTAGAATATCAAAAAAAAAAAAAAAAAAATTAATAAATCCATTTCTCCATTTTAATAAACCCCCTATTTCTTCACCTGAAACAATTAAAAAATGTGTTATCAAATTACAATTTTATGAATGAGATTATTAACTTACCATACGAAAAATACATTAGGATATACTCCGGTGTAAGCGAATCGAACACGCCCAGAGAATCAGTAGAACGTAACAAACAAGTCTCTACTTGATAGACGCTCAATAACTTCAGTTAATACAGGCGCCAAAGCGACACCTTATAGAAAATTCTAGGGGAGTTGGGTGGTAATAGGTATTGTATGTTAACAATCTTATTTATAAAATAATAATTTGATAACAAATTTTTAAATTTCATTTCACTCAATTATGACCTTACCATACGAACAATACATTAAGATAGATTACAAAGCATCACATACCTTAAGGCTGTGGTTAGTATTTTCCTCTATCCAAAAATAACATCTGTAACAAAACCACAAGTATATACATGTACATCATAGTCCAAGTGAAGCATCTTTATGTTAATCTACATAAATCTTGCTTGGCATTCCATCATAAATACATACACATTTTGGTATCTCCAATGACAAACCCCTATATACAGGTGGTATTTAATATGTACACATGTAAACGTTTCTCAAAAGTACCAAATAACACACGCAACACTTCAGCAACACGCCGGAAATATTACTTGTACAATACCTTTGCCGAACCAGTTCTCAAATAAAAAAATGTGAAAGTGGAATCGCGGCTCCGGTCAGCTGCTTCCAATATTGATGCCATTGATGCGCCTTTAAATAAAGCCCAAGATGGACCAATTGCACGAGTTGAATACGCATTAACTTTTATGTAATTGTGTTCACAATCAAATTAGCTAAAGTATGTATCGATACTTGGTTATGCGGCTCTATGAAAGATAAAAAATAAGCTGGTCTGATCATTATTACTTCTTGATCTAAACTGTTCTGTTCTTCTCAAATAAATTGTTATTGCTGTTTTGGGATGTAATTGTTGATTGTCAACAAATGCTGGATCCCAAATTCTACTTCCTGAATGTCCAGGTCTGTCCATCTTAGACAATCCAAATTCAAATGGATATTTTTGTAAACATCATCAACACCTTTGATATATTCCATTCAGGAGCTAGTTTTTTTTACAGGAACTCTTATATTAAATATGGGTGTTGACCAACAGGAACGTTTTCAATTGGAGGTAATACTGCAGACAGCATTGACCTATATCCAGATGTTTTATTTTGTAAATTATCATCATAGAAAAGAGTGGTAAGAAATTCTGCACAATCTACCATAGAGAGTGAATAGGGATATTTTTCCCTTTCACTACACCAGCTATTGTATCTCCTAAATTTGCTAATGTAATCTTTCCTTGTGCCAGATCTCCATGATGCGGAGAGTAAATTTCTAACCCGTCTAGAAAAACCTTTTGCTTTAAACTGTCTGGTGAAAGCAGCCATGCTGTTAGCTTGAAGACCTGAGGATTTGGATGAAATATTTGAGTTTTTGGCTGAACTAACAACTCTTTCATGACTGGTAATTGTATTGGAGGTGCTATTAGATACTGTAGTAATGTTGTGTACCAATGTCTTCTCGGCCACAGAGGTGCAATTAATATTACTTGACAATCCGAGGACTGAGCTATATGTTGAAGTACTTTGGGTATTAGACAAATTGGGGGGTAAGCATATGCTAGCATTCTGTTCCAAGTTATGGTCAAAGCATCCATAGCTAGAGCTTGCTGACATGGGATCCACGAGCAAAATATTGGAACTTTGTGATTGTCTTTGGATGCAAACAGATCTACCATTGGGATTCCCCAAATGCTGAACAGTTTGTTTATTACCTGATTGTTTAGAGTCCATTCTGATGGACGGATTCTTACCCGGGATAAGTGGTCTGCTAAAATGTTCTGACAACCCATAACATAAGCTGCCTTGAGATTGAAATTGTGTTCCATGGCCAGATGCCATAAATCCCATGTTAGGTAACAGAGATTTGGGGATTTGGTTCCGCCCTGGCGATTTATAAACTGTACTACTGTGGTGTTGTCTGATCTGATTAGTACATTTTTGTTTTTCAAATGTGGGAGAAAATGGCGAACTGTTCGAATTACAGCTTCCATTTCTAATATGTTGATATGCATTAAAGCCTCTGTTTGTGACCAAATTCCCTGATAAATTTGATTGTTCATATGGCCTCCGTAACCTACTTTCGAAGCGTCCGTCGTTATTGTTAAATCTGTTGACCAATGTTGAAGAGACCTGCCCTTCAACATATTTGGACGGTGTAACCACCACTGTAGGTGATTTACAAGCTGAGGTGTAACAGGAATTTGGTAAGACATATCCCTGGAACCTGCTTTCCAATGAGCCAACAAATGTAACTGAATTGGTCTCATATGTAGTCGAGCAAGAGGAATTAGTTCTATGCACGATGCCATTAGACCTAACACATGAAGGTACTGAAAAGCTGTATTTGTCTTGTGAATTAGAGTATTTATTGCTAGTACTATTTTTTGAATACGGTCTTGTGTAGGGAAAACTAAACCCAAGTTTAGATTGAACAAACTTCCCAGGTAAACAATAATTTGAGAGGGTATTAGGGATGATTTCTTTACATTTATGATGAAACCTAGTTGCATTAGAATCAAAAGTGTTTGGTCTCGATCTAAGAGGAGTTGAGACCTTAGTGCATTCACTAGTAACCAGTCGTCCAGGTAAGAGGCCAGACGAATATTTTGCTTCCTTAAATAAGCTGCTATTACTGTTATGACCTTTGTAAATGCTCTTGGTGCTTGACTGGGGCCGAAGCACATTGAGGTGAATTGGTAACATTGACCTTGAATGCAAAAACGGAAATACTTTTTGAAATCTTTGTGCATTGGTATGTGCAGGTATGCATCTTTCAGGTCTAAGCTTACAGCATGGTCTTTCTTTTTTACTAAATTTAACACCTTTGACAAAGTGTCCATCTTGAAGTGTTGCTTCACTAAAAACCTGTTTAGCGGTTTTAAATTTATTACAGGCCTCAATTCTCCTGTCTTTTTGGGAACTAGGAAAAAACTGCTGTAAAAGCCTTCCCTGGCAAGATGTGGGGGAACTTTTTCTATTGCCCCTTTTTGTAATAAACTTTGGACTTCTGCAATTATAATCTTCATTTGAATTGGAGGTGCAGATGTCTGCTTTATGCCTGAAAATTTTGGTATTTCTATGAAATCTAGCATTAAACCATTTCTTATTACAGACAGAACCCATTTGTCGTTTGTTATTTTTTCCCAATTTTTCTGAAAATAAGTTAAACGACCGCCTACAGGTAAATGGTGAAGCAACATCATGCATTCTGGAAAGTCATTTACTTGTATTGTTTTGAAAGGTACGAAAAGAACTTACCGTAGTCCTTTGTTGTGCACCCGGTTTAGGAGCCACCTTTGGTATTTTGAAATTACCACTGCTTGGTGTGAAAGTATGTCTTGGTGTAGCCTTATCATCATACCTAGGTCGTTTAGGCATAGAAGAATATGTACTGGTAGGCTGAAACTTCCTTTTGTAATTGTAACTGCTGACAGTTGACTTAGGTTGTTTAAATAAGCTATCTGGAAGAACTTCAGATATCTGCTTATTCCTTTCCTGTTTAGTTTAAGTTGTTCATCAAAACCTGCCCCAAAAACTCCTTCTGCTGTTAGAGGGAGGGAATTAATAGTGTTGGCATAATCCTTTAAATCAACCAGTCCGGTATCATATAATGCTGCTTTCCTGCGTATCAGGTGACTAAAAGCTCCAGCACGAGCTATCTGATCCAGTGATTTAGTAGAAACTGCAAAAGCATCACGTGTCATCTGGATAGCCAAATCAACGTTGCAGTCTTTCTTCTGCAAACAATCAAGCAGAGAACCTAAAACTTTTTGTGCAAAACAGCACTGAATCATGCCCATTCTAGATGCCATCTGGCTTTGAAAAGCTAACCTTTCAATAGATCTCATAGGTTTGTTAAATAAAGATGGAGTATGCCCAAAGGCAGCTTTATGTCCGTATTTCTTGATAAGTAAAGATTCCACCGTATCATCCAACTTTGGAACTTGAAACCAATTCTCGCAAGATTCATGGACAGGAAAATCATGTCTATAACTATCCTTGTAAGATGTTAATTTACCTGGATTTTCACAACGAAAAGATTGAGTAATAATGTCCTTTTGCACATCATCTAAAATAAGCCCTACCTTAGACTTGTCAGTTTTAGTTTTGGCATCTTCCCCAAACATGACCAATAAATTTTGATTAGGTGTTGGGTCACTTTCTGCAGGTAAATATTTGCAAAAACGCTCATTTCTCACTTCATTTTCAACATGTAATGGAGTGGTATCACTAATCATGGAATATCCGTCAGAATCTCTTGACATACTCAACAAGTTTTGCTCCGACTCCCCTGGGTGCAAAGAAAGTACATCATCATGCCTCATTGGTCTGCGAGCAGCCCTTTGGGCCTCGTCTGTGACCTGAGTGTTACTGGGACCTTGACCTAAAGCCAAGGGATTCGCCTAATAGGAATCATCGGTGGCAGAATTTGAAGTACGAAACACTTGCCTTGTATTCTGTCCCGTATTATTAAACGTTAGACGGTAACTGAATGTTACCAAGAAAATTTGTCAACATCCCTGAAAATTGTGACTGAAAATTGGCGAATTTTTTATCAATATTGTCACTGTTTAAACTTTCTAACTCGGAAAAGTCCGACTTTTTTGATAGACTTGGGCTGTTTCCCTGTACTAGAAGACACCTTAGAGTTGTATTTACCCTTTGCAACAAATAACCAAGTCTGAATCGGAAAAAGTATCCTTGTTGCTATTTAAATCCAAATTATTTCCTTCCATCACGAAAGAAAAGTAATAACTCCAAAATAAAAATAAAAACCACGTGTTAAACACGCGAGTTAAAAAACTGGCTGCGTTCGCTTTGACAATGAAAATATAACTAAAGCTATTGATCGTCTACTAAGTAGAGACTTGTTTGTTACGCTCTACTGATTTTCTGGGCGTATTCGATTCGCTTTGACCGGAGTATATCCTAATGTATTTTTCGGATGATAAGTTAGTAATTGAGTGAAATGAAATTAAGTAGACCCTCACCTATATGTATCATTAAGGCTAAAGTCACACGTTTATTCTTTTTGTCTTTTTTCTGAGTGACAGGTTGTTGCGTGTAATACTTTATAGAGATATAATAGGTATATCATTCCAATACCTTACGTTTAAGCTCTAATTTCGTCTTTCTACAAATACTGTATGAAAAAATAGTACTAAAACAAAATTATATACATGCATGTATATTGCATTTGATTGTTTGTTCCGGATTTTACTCCTATTTTACACAATTTTGTATGCCTGGATTATAGTTACATCGTTAATCGTTGTGGAACTTCATTCGTCTTTGTGTCTTGTAATTAGTTGTCAACAGTAAGAATTATCTTTACTTTTTTCATTAAAACACAAACGCACATTAACAAATACATATCGTACAAATATTTATATTAAGGAACCTCTGACGATCCAGATGAGACTAAGAGACAAGCTGCTCTTGCGAAGGAGGCAGGAATCCACATTGCCGCCATTGCTGTTGGTCTTAGTGTAAATGACGAATTAAAGAGTATGGCATCGGCACCGTGGGAGGACAATGTGTTCACGCCAAACAACTTCGAAAACTTGATGTCATTGAACGAACAACTCTTCAGTATCTTAAGTGACGTTTGCCCTCGTATGTATAGTGACCTTCGTAGAGATATATTTAACTAATCGAGCTATATATAAAATGGAGTTTAAAAGAGTTTAAAAGAGTTTTTATAGTATTTGATGTTAGTATAATTTTAGTACGGTAAGATTTGAATGCAGATTTACCTTCTCTATGATATTTGATTACACATTGATTATTAGAAAATGTTTAGTTTGTTTGAAAGACCCCATGTCAAATAAGTAAATGTTTCCATATGCTTAAACATATTTCAAAAGAAAAATCTTAATTTGCTCCCACCATTTTTACTGATATGATTTGAACTTTTTTGAATTTCTTTGGATAAAACACTATGAATTCTTGTAGTATATAAGAATGTAAATATAGATACTCTTATATACCAGCTTGTATTAATTTCAGAGAGGCCTATACCAAACCAATGCAAAGGTAAGGTGTTAGTGATGTATGCGATTGTCAATAACTGTTATAAACATATTATAAAACCAAAAAGTGATATCTTTAACATAAAACACAGACATTCTTCCGTAATTATATAAATAAAAACGAAGCTACAAGAGCAGTAGAGATTGGTTTGTGTGACTTTTGAAATGTTCGTTTACAATTTTTGTTTTAAAGATTAATAAATCTATCCTTAAATATAAGCATTCTGTAAACAAAAAGATAAGATTTTTTTTAAAACTTATTTCCTGGCGCAAGGGTATTACCCCTGACTTATTAAGTGGTAAATGCTTAAATACAGTGCCTACCGCAAGGTGAGTTAAACAAAATTGCAGAGCTTTTGATAGACACAATGAGCGAAATGACCGGTACAGCAATAAAACCCCGAAATATACCAAAGTCTTAGAACGTGATTATGACGACGGCGTAGAACTTAGACTATGTAATACCGTAAGCTTCAATCTGAATAAACAGCATTCTCTAAAATGATGTATGTTATCAGAATGACAATACATTGAAATATGTTTGCAATTTTTCGTAAAGATCCATGTGGTAAGAAAATGTACGATCCAAAAACGGAAGTATGTTGCGATGGTGAACCACATCCTTTCCATGGCGGCTCTGCCGAGAACACACGATGCTGCGGTGATGCAGCTTACAGTATCAAGGACGAATTTTGCTGTAACGGAGAAGTAAACATTTTATTTGCTTTGTTGACGCAAAACAAATTTTAAATTTTTGTGACTTACATGTACATAATGTAAGTTGATTAAGAGCTTGCTTTTGAATGAATTAGTCTGTTAAGTATTCATAAATTATATTTTATTTAACACTTATTCAACTTAAAAAAAAGAATAATCAATAATCAAAAAGGCAATGCGACGTTCACAGAATGAAGCTTCAGAAACACCCCAGCTGCATTGGCAACCTTAACCTCACCGGAATAAAGTCAATTTTCATTTTTTGTATGGTTTTATTCATAATATAGGTAAATGTCAGACCTGGCAACAAGAAAACTGAACCAGAATGTTGTGACGTCACAGCATATGACCCACGACAATCTGTTTGTTGTGGAGGAACTCAAGTTATTCCAAAGTCCAGTAAAGCAGCCGATAAGTGCTGCGGAATGTCAACATATGATCCAGTTCAGGTAAGAATAAATAATATAACTATTTTTATTTTTGGAAGTTTTTTCATATATGTTACGGAAAGATAACATTCGATTCGATTGAGGTAACAGTATTTTGGGAAAAATATCTCTGCTTGAACTACGAATTTTCCTTAACAATTTTATTTTTACTTTACTTGGGATCTACTTCAAACTTCAAATATATGTTCCTTATCATCAAACACATCATATGTGACAAGGTTTATAACTCTAGAGGCCATATTTTCTAGAATTATCACCCCTTGAAACTGGAAGTTTTCTGTTTAAGATTTATTTTATATTTTAACTTCTTTATTTTATAATGGATTTGGGGCGTCCGTGGCCGAGTGGTTAAGGTCGTTGACTTCAAACCACTTGCCCCTCACCGCTGTGGGTTCGAGTCCCGACAGGGACTTTGGATTCTTTCATGTGAGGAAGCTATCCAGCTAGCTTACAGAACGTCGGTGGTTCTACTCAGGTGCCCGTTCGTGCCTGAAATAATGCACGGAAGGGCACCTGAGGTCTTCCTCCACCAGTAAAGCTGGAACGTCGCGATATGACCTATACTGTGTCGATGTGACGTAAAACCCAAAACAAAAAAACAAAAACAACAATATAATGGATTTACTGCAAACTATAAGTTAAAGTTTGATCACAATAATGTGAGAAAATTTATAATTATAGCGTCAATATTTCCAGATTTTTTCCCCTTAAACCTTCTTGATCTTTTCTGTAACTTCTTTATTTCCTCTGGGATTTAATTCAACCTTTAAAAAATATGTTTATTATCAACCATATCATCATATGTAATTAGATTTAGAAGTGTAGCTCCAGCATTTTGAACTCTGAATTTATTTGAAAATTGTTATACATATATTTTTATAAACAAATATCTTTGTTATTATAAATGGCATCTACTTCAAATTTCAAATATATGTTCCTTATTATCAAACACATCATATGTGACAAGGTGTATAATTCTAGAGGCCATATTTTCTAGAATTGTCATCCCTTGAAATTGGAAAATTTATAATTGTAATGTCAATATTTCCAGAATTATTTCCCATTAAACTTTCTTGATCTTTTCTGTAACTTCTTTATTTCCTCAGGGATTTAATTCAAGATTTAAAAAAATATGTTTGTTATCAACTATATCATCATATGTAATTAGATTTATAAGTGAAGCTCCTGTATTCAGAACTCGGAATTTATTTGAAAATTGTTATACATATATTTTTAAAACAAATATCTTTGTTATCATAAATGGCATCTACTTTAAACTTAAGATATAGTGCAATTGTGTTAGGAGTTGTAGTTTAAGACTTATTTACATGCTGGTTCACTACACTGAATCGAATATATATCATTATGTATTTTATTCAATCGATAGGAACAATGTTGTGATGGTGTTATTTACGAGAACTATGGCGAAGACGGTAAAAGTGGTGCTTGCTGTAATATAGCGGAAAGTAACAGGACTGTCAGCTATGACGTCAGATGTTATCAGTGCAAAAAAGGCGAACTGCAGCCTCTCTATGACTGCGCCTTTGAGGTAATAAAACATCCAACATGCAAAGATTATAGAGAAATTATCTAATTAAATCATTGGTCATAACGTTTGTGCTGTTTATTCTCAGCATTTAACATATGCATTTATATAAATGCAAAATTAATAACGAATGCTCGAAAATTTGAAAACTATGAATACAATTTTCGCACAAAGTTCTTCTCTGTCCTCTACATAATTTAAATGTTAATAAGCACACATATATAAACATATATTAACGATGCTAAGTACAACCTAGGTAGGGGCGTCCGTGGCCGAGTGGTTAAGGTCGTTGACTTCAAATTACTTGCCCCTCACCGCTGTGGGTTCGAGTCCCGACAGGGACTTTGGATTTTTTCATGTGAGGAACCTATCCAGCTAGCTTACGGAACGTCGGTGGTTCTACTCAGGTGCCCGTTCGTGCCTAGAAATATGCACGGAAGGGCACCTGAGGTCTTCCTCCACCAGTAAAGCTGGAACGTCGCAATATGACCTATACTGTGTCGATGTGAGGTAAAACCCAAAACAAACAAACAAAACAAAACAACCTAGGTAACATGTAAGTTATTAGTTTATAAATCAATTGACTTTTAGAAGACCAGCAGTTCTACGCTGATCCATTTCAGATTTAACACACGAGGGGAATCTTTGTCATGAATATCATATAGAAGTCGGCGTCGTTTTACCGTTTGTGATGACTTGATAACCTTAATGTTTGTTTCCAAAATCGTTTTGAAATATCAATACTAAGACGTAACGGTCTCAAGAGTTTGCAATCTTAAGTTACTAAGAACAGAACATGTATAACATTTATACATGAATACTCATGTACCTTATAAGTATTTTTATAATCGAATTAAAGATAAATTTTAAGTTTTGTTGCTTTTGTTGTAGAATTATATATCTAAAATCCACATACCGGTATGTTATATTTTTGTGACAGCGTTGCTGTGATGGAGAAATACAAAAGATTGATTATCAAAACTCCTGTTGTTGCGGTAAAGTTGCCTTCAACATTGACGAGTTTATGTGCTGTGGTAACAAACTCAGTAAACGTAAACCAGAAGACGACGCTGGCTGTTGTGGTAATTACATTTATGTTTTACTATTACCATCCTTGTTATTTTGTGTCATAATCAGTTAAATTAAGACAAACACAAAACTTTGATTGATAATGTCTGGCAGAATAGAATTATAACGTTTGCTACAATTGTTTTCTATATGAAAGCGTACTTGGTATATTGGTTAATCATTTGAATGTATCATAATCTATTCATAGATTATAAAGACGTCTTGGGTTTAATATCATAAATACTCTTAGAGGGAATCGTGTGAAGACGATATCTAAAAAAATCTATTAATTTTAAGACATTAAAAATATCTTCGATAGCGTATGGTGACGTATGGCGTATCGGTAACTTCGTGAAATTGTTCCGTCAATAATGGGGACTAATAAAGATTTTCCATGAATTATGTAGTGGACAGATTTCTTTCTGTGAGGCATAAAAGGGAATTAACAACAAGCGTGTCGTGTTGTCGTGTTGTGGTATATTCAACAACGCGACAGAATTACGCTTGTAGTATATTAAAGTATAATTACCTTTTCGATTATTTGCACGAACGAAATATTGTTCATGGCAAAATCCATACATCAGAGGTAAAATACCTTAAGCAATAAATTGTAACCAGTGTTTTGATGTACCATTTGATACTTTTGTAATCATAATGAGTATGATTACGCAAATAATCTAATTCGTAAATAATGTTATTGTATTTCTTGTCTCACTTATCATGTCATATGGAGGCAATAGTTCTGTCTTTACAAATACATGGTATAAATGATGTAGAAATAAAAGTAGAGGATGCCCTTCAGGCAGGTGATTTTAGTGATTCTTTATTCATGACATGTATACTATTTTGAAAGCTATAATGAATCTATCTGAAACAGAAACGTTCAATAAAAATAATCGAGGGTAAGCGTATTGATATACAAAAGTGTTTTATGTTTGGGAAATGTTAACAGATGCAACATATCTGTGTATATTTTAGAATGTGCAAGTAGCATTGCTGATATTGTAGTCGTACTGGACTCATCAGAAAGTGTTGGGTTAGATAACTGGAGGAAGACGGAAATGTTTTTGGAAGACTTGATCGATAGTTCCGTGTTACCAGACACACGGTAAGTGTTTTTAGTGCAAATATATTTCTTCGCTTCACTGGACGACAAAAATGATAACCTTACATCGCTAAAAACAGTGACGCCAACTTGACGCTAGCGTTATACTAGAAACGTCATTTTCAGCATTGATTTGCCTTTGAATATGTAATAAGTTCAGAAATCAAATTAATATTTTTTTTTACTGAAATTAATCTTTAATACTATGGATTTCAACTTTAGAACAAATAAGTTACCCTCGTTTAGTTTACCATCACCAATCATGTGGTACATTTTAACAAAAAAATACATTTTCAATTATAAGAAAGTGAATCATAAAATGATGAACTCAAATAACCCTTTGGAGAATTATACGGCTAATGTAAAATCCGGTCAGGATGTTTTAGATACATTACACATTGTAATTATTTCCGACCCTGTTCGCCATTATTTTTTTTTGAGGGGGGGGGGGGGGGGGTATTTCCAATATATCATATGCTTAAGATAAGATAAAAATCTCTAATAATCTTTATCTTCATGAAAATTGATAAAAAAACCTTTTAAATATTTGTGCTATAATGCTGCATATGTGTAAAATAATCAGACAATTCACGTAAATCAGCTATTAATATTGATTCATCATATTTTATCAATTAACCACCAAAATGACTGCCACGTTTGGTAGGCCCTAGGGGAAGGATAAAGAATTATCTATAGATATTTATGCTTATATTAGAACGTGCACTAAACATAAGGAATAAGGTTACATATATAAATCATAATTACATAAGAAATTATTTATATTACCACTCTTGAATATGTTTTAAATTATAGTCTGCTTTTACATTAAATTTCCCGTCTTTTTTCATGCAGAAAGTGTTAATGTTTAACTTTTTCCACGGTATATGTTTCTCCTTGTTAATTTGTGTCATAATCAGTTGAGTTAACACAAACACAAACCTTTGATGCAGAGCCAGACGTCTTTATTTATCTATTAATAGTATTATAGCGTTTGCTAAATTGTTTTCTATATGAAAGCGTATTTGAAGTTTTTGGTTAATCATTAATAATAAAATGATTTACCAAAAACTTAACAAATACGTTTTCAAATGAAAGACAATTGTAGCAAACATTATAATAGATGTCACATCTGATGATAATGTCTGGCAGGGTCAGGCGTCTTTATTGTCTAAGAATAGATAATGAATAACTTCAAATATACTTTCATATAGAAAACTATTGCAGCAAACATTATAATAGATGGCACAAAGTTGGACAAAAAAATAGTTGACACAAAGTTGGACAACAAAAACCACCTAACACAAATATATAATCATAAAATATTTTTTCAAATTGTGGTCGACTTTCCCGGATAAAACCATAGTCTGGTAACCTGTACCCTTTTATATTGTGTCTTGTACCACCTGATGTAAGGGTACATCCTTGAAAAATATTTTACGAACCTTGAAGAAAGTAATCAATATACATAGAAGTTAAGTATATGCATTTTGACTACGAAATGATAATATGCAAAAACAAAAACAAAAGAAAACTTTATATAGGTTAATGTCAATGTGATACATAATGATAACAAAAACAACATAAATTAAAATACAAAATATACAAGTAAAATGAAATTGTATTATCACGCTTCTGGTTTTCGATGGTCGGAGGGGTGGTAACGGAAGACAAGAGAATATATATAAAAGCTTTGCAGTGATTAACTGCGTTTGTAATTCCATTTCCAAAGAAAATTATATTAAATAGAAATTGTTGATTACTCGCATTACAATGAATCAGATACATTACAACTTCATCAAACCAAGCTTCTCAAATGAAAGTGTACATTCCGTGCACCTACTGCTGTTATTGGGCAGTCATAAGATCAAAGAAACATACAGTTGTAAAATCCAGACAAGCGGAACATATTAATTAACGTTACAGTATACGCTAGAAGTGCATACCAAATACAAATTAGTGATGGTTACTAAAATAAACATAAACTTATTTAAATGTGATATAAATTACAATTTTATGTTTCATTCATATCACATAGTTTTTGTTTTTTCAGATTTGGTCTTTTGACATACAAACATAATACGTCGATAGAGTTCCATTTGAATAGATATTTTGACAAAGATTCTTTGTTAGAGGCCGTAGATAACCTGCCATACGTAAGAGGTAATTAAAAACTTTTCTTATGCAAAATACGCATTCTGTTCCATCGGTCAAATGCTGAAATTTATAGTTTCACGTCCTGGCTATATTTTACCTAATTCCATAATCCAAATAAAGCATTAAGTATTTATTAGTTTAAGGCCTCAGCTACTGACTGTCGTAAGACAATGTCAATTACTTTGAATTCACTTCATTTCGTGGGCATAAAATTTCGTGGTTTTGTCACAAAGAACATTTTCGTGGGTTCTTAAATTTGAGGAATTGTTTTTCCCCAAAAAACTTACATGTTAATAATATGATGATAAATAATCTTACAGCAGACGTAATAAAATTTCTTTGGATCTTAAATTTGTGGATTGACCTATCTACGAAAACCACGAAAATGACTTCCCCACGAATAATAATGATGTTGATGTATATAATGCTTATTCCCTTAAAAGCCACGACAAAAACACAATAATGTTTTACCCCATCGTGTCACATTATAAGAATAACTTGTAGTGTATCCGGTGTGAACGTACCCTGAAAAGAACAGAATGAGATTCCACTCGGCCGTCACTGTGGTCAAATTATTATGTCGATATTTTAGATATTTTGTATTGTAACAAAAACTTGTTGTTGTTTTTTGTTGTTGTTTTTTTCCGCTTCTTAAAACTTGATATTTGTTTTACTTATAGGAAGTACCAACACAGGGTTAGCTTTACAGGTTGTAAGAGAGGATATGTTGATTCCTGTAAGGGGTGATAGGCCGATCGCACCGGACTTTGTGTTGTTGATTACTGACGGACAGTCTGATGAACCTATTTACACCGTTGAACAAGCTGATTTGCTTAAAGCACAAGGTAGGTATCTCAAAATGAACACCTTTACCGCTGTAGGTATCAAATTTGATGTTTTCTTACACCAGCAAAAGTGTTGAAGTCGCCATATGAGCTTAAAGTTTTATTATACCAATATATTTCAGTTTTATTATTAACATCGCTTGAACGATACATTACTCACGTGCCTCAAAGATCCATCGGAATTTACTCGTAGCGTTAAATTTATAAAAAGAGTTGGGCAGTCTTTGATATTTTAGGCAGACTTATATATTATCCTTAACATTTTCCAATATCAACTGTCGGTCAGTCACCTTTATAAAAATCAGTCTTTTGAAATAGTCAATTCAGCTCCACCTGACGATAAAAATGTGAGCATAATGTCACTTTAAAACAAGATATATTCATAATAAACAACAATGAAACTTCATGTGGGATTACGTAAAAATGATATGCATACATATAGCTGAATAACAGTCTGTTATTTTATTCAACACCTATGCAAATTTTGTTAAACGTTCTCATAATTGAACCCCGATTCTAAAATCCAATACCCGTGGAATTTTGTTTAAATCACCATAATTACTTAAATCTTTTTATGGTTAACAAATGGTTAAACTTATCTTTTTGAAAGTAGACTCTTATAAAATGGTTTTTAAAGAAAATTTACATGACTTCAGTGATGTACAAACATTTAAGTCACTTCATTAATATATTTTCACTTTCTAATTGGTTTCACTTTTCATTTTTATCAGATACCTGTGCCGATTTTGCGACTCCGTAAAAATGTTATTGCTTGGCCATGCATATATACAACTCAAAATTTGCCACGGATCACCTTTTTGACATTTCATATTTCAGTCCTATTATCATCATATTAAAATCATATTTCCGCTAACGATACACATGTACCGGGACCTCATAGCATACCCATGGAAATTTGGTGTTTTATGGCCATATGCTTTCACTTAAACGTGTTCAAGTAGCAAGACTTCTCAACTGTGTTCGAAATAAACAAACTATGACAAATCGACAGGTTAGACGTCGTCTATTTGAAAATGAGATGAACAAGGGTATTGGAATGTTGGAGGCTGGCCTTTCACAAAGGCACGTTGCCCATGTCATTTGGGTATCCAGAACGTTGTCTCCAGGATGTGGAACCGATTCCAAATGACTGGAAATGTCTTGCAGGGCCACGTCGGATGTCGGGAACGTTCAACGACTCAACCGATTTATTGTCCTACAGACCAGGCGCCAACGGTTCTCGAACGCTACGACCTTAAGTAACGACTTCAAGAATGCAACTGGTGTGCGTGTAAGCACACAAACTGTTTGAAACAGGTTGCATTATGCTGGTTTGAGGTCAGGGAGGCGAACAATTCACATTCCTTTGACACAACGCCATATTCAAGAGCGTTTTCAATGGACGCAGACTCATGTCTCATGGACAGTTACTGATTGGACCCGGTCCTCTTCACTGATGAGTCAAGGTTTTGTGTAGACTTCACGGACAGACAGACAGACGGGCGATGGTTTGGAGAAGTCAAAATGAACGCATAGCGCCAGCATGCGTCGCAGAACACGACCGTTTTGGCGTGGATTCAGTCATTGTGTGGGCGAGAATAAGCGCTCAGGGGAAAACGGACCTATATATCATTGAAAACGGTACAGTGATGGCAGTAAGGTACGTCAATGAAATCTTAGACGTCCATGTATGCACGACGCTTGCGCAGTCGGTCCTGATTTCATTCTTATGGATGATAACGCCCGTGCACACAGAGCGCACATTACAAATCACAAAACCGATATCTTGAGGAGGCAACTATAGTCCACATGTATTGGCCAGTGAGGTTCCCGGATTTAAATGCAATTGAGCATGCTTGGGATATACGTCACGTCCAACCAACAACAGTTCAGGAGCTAAGACATGCAATCATAGAGGAATAGGCCCAGATTCCTTATCACAAAGTCCGCAGGCTCATCAGCAGCAAGCGGCGGTGATGCAAGACCGCAATTAATGCCCGCGGACACCATACTCGGTATTAAACACCCTACGCCAACCATTTCCTGATTTGCAAGATTTTTTTATTCCACTATGTAATCTCCAAAATGTTGATTTTCGTCCAACAAACTCTTTCCGCAACAAGCAAACGTCAAGGAACACTTCCTTGTCATTATTTAAAAAAAATCAATTCCTAACTAATTATATTTAATTCCTTTTAATCAATTTTCACATTTATTACAAATACACAAAAGTAACGCACTGTAGAAAAAGTGATCCTGAGCAAATTTTGAGTAGTATATTTAAACGTGACGTCAGTTACGTTAATAACGTCAGGACGCGCTAAATGTTAGCCTTACACTATGTGCGCATCATTGAAAAATAAGTCTTTTGCACTTTAAACATTCTTTATGTTGGGTGCGTGATAAATAGAATATTATATTCGTGTAGGTTTATTACTGAATTCAGTGGACTCGTTGAATTAAATGATATTTTGCTCGCTAAAGACTCGCATGATATAGCTTTATTCATCTTGTTGAAGAAATTCAGTATTGAACCTACGCTAAGTTTATATACTCTATGTTTTATTATGGCATACTGTATAAATAAAACTACAAAAAGCTACATGCATAATTATAAGGCTTATGCATCAAAAATGAATCTATCATTGTTGTGGTATTCAGGTGTTCAAATTATCGGACTTGGTGTTGGTCTCAAAGACGACAAAGAATTGAACGCTGTTGTGAGCCCTCCATCAGAACAAAATGCCATAAGTCTTAAAACATTCACTGAGCTCGATAAGATTAAAAAGAGGATATTCAGCGATCTTGCCAAGAGTGTATGCCCACGTATGTTCCATTGTTTTTCTATCGTTGTTTTAGTCTTTGTTGTTTGGTCATGTATGTATACTTGATGTATGTCATACTTTTGTAATAATTTGTGTGTGGTTTGTGTGGTTTGTCATATTATTCTGTCATTTGTTATTTGTTATAGGAACTTTCTGAGATATTTATACAGTTATAATTAAACAAAATAATTTTTGAACGGAATAATTTATAAAAATACGATATTTTTTAATTTATCAAAAGAAATTTGATCCTTTAAGTCTGAAAAGAGGGAAAAGAAACCTCTTTACTATAATATTTATGTCTACATAAAAATGATTTAATGGTTCTTGTTTGAACTTATATGTCTCTCTATATTTTCTCTCTATATTTTTTGTTTTCCAGAAAGACCAAAGGAGAGATGTGGCTGTAAGTTAGGCTTATAGTATATTTTTTTCTGAAGTCATTTATTGTTATTTCTTTAAATTAATTTTGTTTATTGAGTACATATATTTTGTAGTTATTAATTTTTAATTTTTAAAATAAAGAACAATCGGGCTAATAGTGTTATTCAATTGAAAAACAGATCATACCTGTGTTTCCAGATTTAATATAATGCAATCCTTGACACTTGTCACATGTTACAGCACATGAATTCCTGTTGATACGTCTTAACAGAATGGTACAAGGAGGAGCTGGTATACTTATGATTTTCTTTTGTTTTTGAAAAACAAATACTGCATAAATATATAAAAAGATAATAAGGTTAATATAAAACATGAATGTTGTTTTCAGTACCATGCGGTGACACAGTGTATGACCCACTATCACAGGTATGTTGTAACGATATGCCACAGCCAATCATGGGTGGTTCTGTTGATAACACAGAATGTTGCGACCAGAAGAGTTATAATAAGAGGACAGACGCTTGTTGTGGTGAGGAGTTTGTGTACAACATGAAGAATGAAATGTGCTGCGCTGGAAAGGTATTAGAAATTAAATAATTCAGAAAGTACAAACAATTTAAATTTGGCATAACTGAGTAAGTTGATAGAGGACATGTATTGTGTTACATCTCTTAAGCAATATATTAAAATGCATTTCATCTTCATAATTAAATATTTTAGTTTTTATAATCTTAAAGAACCAAGTAAATAACAGGCCATCTTGATTTTAGATATAAAATAATGTATTTCTATTTTTTTGCAATTGTTTCCTTAATCTCTTTTTGAAAATTAATATGCTTGTTCTTTGCTAGTCTATATTGAAGTTCTGCCAGTATTTGTCTGTTTTCAATTTGTTGGTATTCTTATAAACCATTTCTGCAATGATTATAAATATGCTATTCAACGAAAATGTTATGTTTGTAAATAGAATTCTGTAACTGAATTGTTTTGATTTTATTCCAAATAAAATAACATCTCCCTGTCAGATGAAGCGAACGAATGATACATATTTCTATAATTTTACAGGTCAATATTAGAAAAACCTGCTCTGTTGAAGATATTTCTCTGTCAATACGGAAAATCTTTGCCTTTTGGTACATAATTTGCTATTTAAACAGGTCAATTTCAGGAAAAGTTGAGTCATTCGTTACATATTTCTTTATTTATACAGGTCAAAATAACAAAATATCTGCTGTTTAATACACCTTACCCATCTTATTGTACAGGTCAATACAAAACCAAGTGGCAAAGATCCACAATGTTGTGACGACGAAGCCTATAACCCAGCTGATGCTATCTGTTGCTATGGTGAGAAGGTTATACAGAAGGCCAGTAAAACTTCAACCGAATGTTGTGGAATGGCATCATATGATCCCATTAAGGTATTTGACTTTAAAATAAATGTCGATATTGTCAGAAAAGGTAAATTTGTACAACTGGCCCATAGCAGTTTCCAGGAATTCTAAATATAATTAATCATGCAGTTAAACAGATATATGTTACATTGCAGTGAATTCAACAATGTAGCGTTAGTAATCTGTTCTTAAAATTTCAACAGAAACGTTTGGAAATAATTGGCTCTAATTATATTTCTGTTTCAATCCCCTTTCAAAGCTGTCAGTGTTTTTTCAAATATACATTCATATTTTATATAAGACAATGGGAATTGTTACATGTTGGAAAGTCTCATGCCAATAAAACCAATAAAGAAAAATTTCAAAGCGAAATACATACAGCTAAACATATTTATTGCAAGATAGATTTTTAGAATAATTTGAGTTAAGTTATTTTTTTTCTGAACATTCATTCAAACATCTCTAAACTTTTGAGAATTATTTAATGCATATAATAAAATATGGAATTTGTTGTGATCGGCTATGTGCAAAAATTAACTGCGTCAGGGTTTTATATTTAATTATGTCTCCTAAAATTTTTGGGAGACATATTGTTTTTGCCTACGCCTCTGTCTGTCCGTCTGTCCCTACTAAGCTCGTCCGGCTTTCACAAGTCAAACTACTGGTGGGATTTCAACCAAACTTTATAGGAGTGATCAGTACCATCCCTAGATGTGCACTTCACCGACACGTTCCGCTTTGCTGCACAGAATGGCTGCCAGAGCAAAAATTAGAAAAATCTTGCCTGGCCTTCACAGGTCAAACTACTGGTGGGATTTCAACCAAAATTTATAGGAGTGATCAGTACCATCCTATTTGTGCACATCCCCGACATGTTTCGTTTGCTGCACAAAAATGCCGCCAGAGCTAAAAAAAAGAAAAAAAACATCAACCAAACATTACAGGTACGATCAGTACCATCCCTTGTTGAGCACATCACCGGCACGTTCCGCTTTGCTGCACATACTTGCCGCCAGTGCTATAAACAAAAAAACTTGTCTGGCTTTCATAGGTCAAACTCCTGGTGGAATTTTAACCAAACTTTACAGGAGTGATTAGTACCATCCCTAGTTTTGGACATCACCGGCATGTTCCGCTTCGCTGCACAAAATGGCCACCAGAGCTAAAAAAAGAAAAGTCACGGTGGCCTTCACATTGGTGGGATTTCAGCAAAACGTTACAGGAGTGATAAGTACTATTCCTAGTTTCACAGGTCAAGCTACTGCTGGGATTTCAATGAAACTGCACATGAGTGATCATTACCATACGGAGTTGTGCATATCGCCGGCATGTTCTGTATCTCTACATTAAATGGCCGTTAGAGCTATAAATAGAAAAAAATCTAGGTGTTTTCAGAAGTCACGCTGCTGGTGGGATTTCAATGAAACTTCACATGAGTGACATTACATAGTTTTGGGAGACATATGTTTTTGTGACAAAAACCCTTCTAGTTAGACATATTCTGGCGATGCTTCCTTTAATTTTTGTACATTGCGCTGCGATTGGGCAATATCTTAACATTCATATTTGTTGCTTGTTTGGACACTTTAAAATGTATTTTTTTTGTGTACATATTAAAACAGGAATTGTGTTGTGATGGGGCTATATACCAGAATTACGGAGATGATGGTAAGGCAGGTGCTTGCTGCACAATTAGAGAATTAAATAGGACCATCAGCTACGATACCCGATGCTACAATTGCCTGGATCCACTTTATGACTGCCGTTACCAGGTATATTATCACTTCGAGGGCTTGGTGCGAAAGGGTTTTAACTCGTAATACATAAAGAAGGAATAACGACTCTTTCACACCAAGCTGTCGATTTAAAGAATAGCATGACTTTGCAATATATCTAAGGCAACATATTCAATTTTGCCGTTTTGGGCTTTCTTTAGGGATTCCTTTTTTCTCTATTATATGACAGTTTCTCAACCATGTTATCCACTATAAATAACATTATAAAATGTCTTAATTGTCTAAGAACCGGATTTTTTTTATACCGAAGTCTTAACAAATTGACAGTCTTTACAAATCGACGTATCTTTAACATAATAAAGTTCAAAATAATATTAATTTTTAAGAAACACAAGTTTTTATTCCCTCGTCTACACCTATTGTGACTAATGGAGTGAATTTATCAGACATATAACTTATCGAACGTAATCTATGAAATGAAAAGTTAAGTATTTTACGCTCTATCAGAATATATTTCAAACGTTATCAACGGCTACACTTCTATTCCTTTTGAAACTGTCACAGTGTCAAATTGATAAACGCTTTAACGCCTCATGGTTGTTTCTCGCTATAGTGACAGTTATGAACTTATATATGCCTTATATTGCTATATTGTTACCTTAAATCTTCTGAATTTCTTGAATGGACTCGACTTTCTTTTATTTTTGGAAAAATCTTCATTTCTTGTCAGCTTGCGAGGATGTGCAGGCTGACTTGGCTCTTTACTGGTGGCAAAAGCTAATCTCTTCCGGTTCCAGCAAGGTACTGATTAATATGAGCACCATTTGATATTCCAGCGTTGTTGTGACGGCGTTATCCAAGAAATTTTCAGCGATAATTCCTGTTGCTGTGGAAAAAAAGCGTTTGATCCCCTTGATCAAATTTGTTGCGACAATAAAATTAAAGACAGAAAACCAGGAGATGATAAAACATGTTGTGGTAATTTTTGAGATGATACGCTACTCTCTTAATAATTATACTCCATCCAAAATATGATTACAATAGTTTGTTAGAAAAAGCATAGGTCAAGGGACGATGATTGTTGCAATATCAAGAACTAACAATTCGTGTTAGCATCTAAAGCAAATCGATAACTGAAATGTGTATTGTTTATTTTGAACATTACCAAGCTAAATATCTTAAATGAACTACTATCTTTTAATCTGTAAAAACTGTTTGTCAATTTTAGGGAAGAAATAAAAAAAATCCTACTGAATAACGAACTGTGCAGATCATGATCAGACGCATAGATGTGCCGCCTTATCATGGCTTTAAGCTGGTCGCAATGGTAGAATATATTTCTGTCAACTGGCTAGGCTTAAAACATGTCAAAAGTCTTAACTCCTTAAATTTAAAATGGTGATGAATGAATTGAGTGATTTCTCTGTGTATAAATATATATAATCAACTACAATATCAGCGTTATTTGATTGTTCCAGAGTGTGCAAGTAACATTATTGATATTGTGATTGTACTGGATTCGTCCGAAAGTGTAGGAGACAAAAACTGGAGGAAAATGGAGGTGTTTGTAGAATCAATGATCAACAGTTCTAAAATTCCGGATGTAAGGTTCGTTAAAGAACCTATCATATTATATTTTTACTATTCACATAGAAAACTATTATGATATTTGACATTCCATGACATTTTTAACCAATCTTATTTCTTTCTAAATTCTTTAGATTTTACAGAAAGTGATTTATACAGAATGTATATTAGTTCGATTGTGTAGGAACTTACTACGAAGATAATAGCTTACAGACATACACTCCGATCCGTTCCTTGAACCAATCAGTACTGAGCAATTAGTGTAAAGTTAGTTTTCCCAAGGAAACAAAGGTTCGCCGCAACGAGGTTTGAACTGCCGGAAAGCGAGCCTTGCGTTAACAACTCAGACATGTCGCCACTCATCAGAAATACACAATCATCTATGTTAGCATTGAACAATTAAAGACCAAGACATATTCTAAGCAAGCACACGCAAAAGCCCGTTAAGCAGGATAACGCAGATGAATTAGAATATGTAATGAAACCCCGTCTTTAAAGCCTAATTAATTTAAACCACAATCAGCTTGAACCGAACCTGATTAGCTTATGTTTAAGCCTGTTTTGTGCAGATACGGAATAATTCTAAGATTTTCAACATTATTGTGTAGATGCGCTGTTATTAATATCCCGGCCTGACAGTAATTTTATTTTTATTCTTTAACATGAAAACGATTGAAATCAAATGTATGTTTTGTAGATTTGGGCTACTGACCTACAGACATAACACAACTTTGGAATTTAATTTAAATAAATATTTCAACAAGGATGACCTGTTTGCTGCCGTAGATAATCTACCTTACATTAGAGGTAAAAGGTTTTATTTTATAACATGAATAAACAATTTGTTATGTTATTGTCGTCTTTAATTCTAGATTAAGTGAATGAAATATGTGTTATAATAAAACACTTTGTCAGTGTAATAAAGGCATAATAGTTACATTCATTTCATAGTGATTACTTTGATATATAATGAAGTGATTTACTATAACGTAGATAATCATAAATCTTACCTGAATATGTGTTTTGAACAAGTCACGTGTTCTGAACATTTTCTTTGGACCTCATCGTGGAACATACTGAATAGCAGCAGTTAGAATCTAAGAAACAAAAAGATACAATAATGACTTGTCATTATCTCAGTGATATTTAGAAAATATTTATGTCTCTAAGTTATTACATTTTGCTTTGTCTAAACACGAATGATAAACTTACACATTTAATGTATGCATTTTGTCTTCTTAATCAGGTAGCACAAATACCGCTGGCGCCATAAAAGCAATGAGAGAGATGTTCGTACCTAAATCTGGTGATAGACCTATCGCACCTAACTTCTGCTTACTCATTACCGATGGCGAATCAGACGAACCTGATGCAACTAAGAAACAAGCAGAAATTGCTAAGGCACAAGGCATGTAACACAATTTGCATTTACTCTCTTTTATATCAATAGTTTTGATATTTAATTACGTAAATGTTTGGTTTTTTTCTTTCATTTTTTTCAGAAGGAAGCCTGTTAGTAAAATATTGACTTCATGAAGCAGCCTTTTTAATGGTTATTCCGTGATATGTTACATAATAATATTTAATTTCCAGTACCCCTAATTTCCTCTTTTCTTTAAACCTTATTTAGTGAAAGATATTATTATTGTTACAGAAATAAAGATTTTAAAGTTTCATTGACATTTTTCTTAACTTTTACTTATTAACAAATTTGTATATGTAATGTCAATGAATTTAAAATATAAATATGAGGACAGTTACGAGGATACTATGAAAGAATATTTTTATTGAGAGAAATATATTTTTTAATTATATTTATACTTCTTACAGGCATTACAATCATAGCTCTTGGTATTGGTTTGAAAGACGCCTATGAATTAAAAGCTATTGCAAGTCCACCTGTTGAAGAAAATGCCATAACATTAAGCAACTTTGAGGAACTTGAAGCTATTAAGAATAGAATATTTAACGATCTTGCAAAAAGTGTTTGTCCACGTAAGTTCTTAATGAATAATAAAGTTGCGTATATTTTCTATACATTATATTCAAATTTACCGACATCTTAAGAGCAAATTGAAATGTGTAATGCTGATATATTAACATGCTTGCAAGTTTCTATCCATTACTTCCCTTATAAATATCCTAAAGTAAATATTTTGTCATGAAGTTGAACCGTTGTTTGATTTAAAGTGAACATGGTTGTAAAATATCAATAGTTCCGTTGATTAAAAATCATACCCAAACTCTCAAATAATGGCAAAGTAAAGGCTGAAAGTTCTAGCATTGATGCAAGTCATAATTCAAAATGTACGAAATAAACTTGTAAGTACACATTTACATGTGAACAGCATTTATCATTTATCAGTATACAGTTCATACCTTTAAATATTATTCTTATATAATAAAGCATCATTTAGTTTCAAAGTTTTGTCTTCTTTGCTGCATGTATCTAAATTTATCCTTTCAGAAAAACCAGAAGACAGATGTGGCAGTAAGTATTCATTTAAATATCCCTCATTGTTCTTATCAAAATATAAATCATGGATCTATATTTCGCACTTGTATATGATTCGATTTTATGCGTAAATTGAAATAAATAAAACGGGAAATGAACACTGTCTATAAGTTAACATTCTCATTAACACAGTGTGACGGCAATCATTAACATATTTTAAACATTTGCTTTTGTTGACACAATTATAAAAAGAAACTGTTGGAAACTTTACGAAATCCCTAAATACTGTGTTTAACAAACTGCACTTTTAATTAGTAAATCAGCTAAACAGCTTGATTTCAAATTGATTTCAAATCACCAATGTCATACTATTTTCACAATGAAAACGAAATACATTTTTGAGGAAGAGCAATATGAAACGTTTTAAAAAAAGATGCATTTTAATTTGAATAACTATTTTATAGCGCCGTGTGGCAATACAACAATTGACGAACGCTACGAAATCTGCTGTGATGGTGTCCCTGGCAAAAAGATGGCCGGTGACAAAACACTTTGCTGTGGAACAGTGGCATATGATCCAAATTGTTTCATCTGTTGTGAGGAAGATAATCTCGTATCAAAGTCAGTATAATAGCTCCTTGTTTTATTTCTTAGGTGTTATGGTTAGCCAGTTATGGGGGCTGACTTCTGCTATTTCGTGTCTTAGCCACCGACGAAAATTGGCCAATTATTTTGGCATTTTGTGGCAAAGACACTACGACACGACAAATATAGGGCGCCGATACGAAGATATGTATACGCCGATACGATAATTCTGCAGAAAAAGATCTCATGGATTTGCCTATTAAAATATCGATATTTCGCCTACTAAAATAAACTAAAATATATCATGCCTTCGTGCCGTCGCCCTCAAAAGTCGAAGACGAAGTTACAATAAGTATATTATCGCGTATTCGTGTTTTCGACTTCGCCGCATTTCTTTATTGATCTTGTTTATCATATTTAAGGGGCGTAGATACGAAGACACGATATGGCAGAACTATATGTTTCGTTTTTCTTTCCCTTTTTTTAATTTAGAAAATTTTGAAGAAGAAATTTATGATTCATGACAATCTGATGATACTTAACTACAAAGTGTTTAAGTACTTTCAATAAATCTACCTCTTTTGAAAATATTTAACAGATATGCAGGCGACTTTACAGAATGTTGCTGTAAATGGGCATACGACAAAAGAACACATTTGTGTTGTGGTAACCAGATCTTACCATTGGTGGCAGGAAAATTCACAAAATGTTGCCACAATGACACGTACGACTCGAGAACTGAGGTAATATTAAGTTATTTTGTAACTTTAATAGCATCACATTGAGAAATATTTGGTACTTTGCGTTTAATATATATATGACCAGAAAAATAAGTCAGCGTTTTCATCTAAATCATATTTTGAGAAGCCTCAACTCTGACAAAATTAATATATTGTCTGGATAAAAATGCTATGTAAAAGTTATTTTTGCACATCGTTATATTACCTGACTTAAAAGTTTATACTCGCCTTCAAGCTTTTTTTTCACGTTGACCTTTTATGTTTAATATTTAAGTGTTGGTGTAACCTTATTATTATTCCTTTTTAGCTTGACCTTTTGTAATTCTGTTTTGACAATATATTACGTATTTGGATAGGCAATGCTATTATAACATTATGTTTTCGTCAACCATTCTCAGGTATGCTGTGGCATGATGACTGTACAGCCGAGTTTTGGACCTGCCACAGAATGCTGCAATGGTGTAAGCTACGATTCTAGATGTGATGAATGTGAGAAAAATAAAATATCACCTAAATATGACCCTGCTACACAACTTTGCTGTGACGGTAAGATTCAGAGGAAAGAATTTGAAGAGAGGTAATATTGCTTATTGTTTGGTGCTCAACCTTTAAATATGATTCTTGTTTGATATGTTACAGTATAATTATCATTATATTCGCCATTGTTAAGGTCGTTTATATAACACATAGGAACATGTAAAAAGACAATGATAACAGGTCTTCCATGTAAAGCCTTATGGCCAAAATTGATTTTATTTTCATCTTTATTTCACTGAATTTACAGCTATTTCATATCATTTTGTAAACCAATTCAATTCAGTTAAGAAAAATATTGTTATGATAACGCTTGCTGTAATTGCTATCTTTATTTCTTCCTTAGATCATGTTGTTGTGGAGCTAAGCAATTTGATGTTGACAAGGGTATATGTTGTGAAGAAAAATATTACGACCGCCCCAATAACGAAGTATCCTGTTGCGGTCCAAATATATTTGATCCCAAGAAAAGCATTTGCTGTAATGACAAAATAAATCCTAGGCTTAATGGATTTGAGACGAAATGTTGCGGCGAAAAATCTTATAGCCCGAAGAAAAATCATTGTTGTGATGATAAAATTAACAAGAAGAAACCTGGGCAATCTTGCTGTTGTGGTACTCGAGTATTTGACTTCACCAAACAGATTTGTTGCGATGGTAAGGTGAATAAAATGGCAAAGGCTGGACGACGAGACTCATCGGTTTGCTGCGGGAAAAAATCGTTTGATCCAAACAAACAGTTGTGCTGCAATGGTAAAGTCAACAAACTGAACAAAAATGGTGCAAGTACAGCATGCTGCGCGACCAAAGCTTACGATCCAGCCAAGCAACTCTGTGAAAACGGAAAAGTTTCTACAATCCAAAAAGAATGCAACCGCAGAAGATATAACCCAAATACACACACGTGTTGCAATGGATTTATCAATAATGGAACAATTAAGGAACCTTACGGTCGTTGTTGCTTTGGAGATGCATACGACGCCAGGGAGAAAGTATGCTGTTGCAATGGAAACCTAGAAGATGCTGTCGCAGGTATTTATACTCAATGTTGCTACAGTAAGGCATATGACTCTAGGCGTTACACATGCTGCGATGGACAAATCGTTCCAAAGCCATACCCATCTGCCGAATGCTGCTGCGAGAGACAAGCTTATGACAGTAACAGAGAGATTTGCTGTGGCGGAAAAGTCAATCCATGCGGGAGCGACAGAACGAAATGTTGTGCAACCAAGGCTTACGATCCTACGCTTGAAATATGTTGTGATGGTAAATTGCATGACAGACGGTATGGAGAAGAAACGTATTGCTGTGGTACGGAGTCGTACACACCAGCTCTAGCTGCATGCTGTGGTGACAGGATTGCATACACTAGGAAGATTAAACTTGAATGGTAAGTGGGCTGATTATAATAGTTATTACATAACTTTAATGAAACTGCCATTACTGATGAACTCTTTGAATCATATCTTTTGTATATATGCAATCTGTGTAGTATATTTGATTCCTTGCTTCAATGAATTATGACGTAATGAGGCAATAGCGCTATAGTAAAATTGTGTAGCCTCTCAAACTTTTAATGAAAATTCATTTAAAATAAATTATAGTGCATTAAATAACGAATTTAAAAGTAAACAATCGATTTTCATACTTTAAGAACTAACTGGCCAGTATATATTGCAGATCTATATCACACTCAAAAAATAGTTAAACGCCTAAATATGTTAAGATGAATGAAACAAGTATATAATTTATATTACAGGTAAACGCCTCCTGGTGGACATTCTTCACATCAAACAATGTCACTAAATCATTATTTATGTTGCACATATATTCCATAGTTGTTTTAAGGAATATTTAATTAGTCATATTTTGTCTTAATGTTGACTTATTTACTCCATTTTCATATAATGAAAATCGTTAAAATATTATGGTTTCATATACGTAGAAACTGCTTTCCAATTAGCTATGTGTTTGAAAGTCACAATGTTTCTAAGCGTTTCCAGAATTTCTTTGAATTTAAACGTCAAATTGTCAAGTTCTTGTGTTCTTGAAGTCATTTCTGAGTTAAAAGAACGTGATATTAGGGGGGAAAAATGTTATCTTTTAAATTTTGGGCAATTCAATTTTTTAAGATTAGTCCCCTTTCAAAAAGTATTTCATTTGCAAGTAATGTTTTCTGGAATTTTTAATGGTTAAAAATATAGAATTTATTTTTCTTTTCTGTACTAAAAATGACCATATTGACGCTTTATTAACTCATTTTACATTCGTACTCTATCATTCTTATTAGTGTAGTCTTTCACGTGCTGACCTAAAAGTATTGTAAGATGGAAGAGCTAGCTAAATGCTCAACCGTGGGTAGTAAACCTGCATTTATTTACATCCTTATTTGATTTCGTAAAATATTCTCATCAATATTAATGAATTCTTTTGATGGTTTACCAAAACACATGTATTCCCTGTCAAGGAAAAATTTGTATTGACTAATTACTTTGTTTGAAATTATCCATTAAACATGTATGTTTTATTTTTTTGTTCTGATTATAATTAATAGTTTATGAATTGTTCATTAGTATTGTGATGAGATCTGCTATGTGGATTTGACTTTTTTTTCCTTAACATAAATCATCAAATGTTTTTTTTTTCTTAAAATAAATTTCATTTTTCACATGTTATTAATTTATATGTCATTGTTATTTTCAATTTGCTCTTAATTCACATCATGTTCATGTTTCAGGGTACACACTAGGGCAACATGCAAAGTTATGTATATCAAATCTGTAATTGGAAAAGGCATTAAACACTTTCAAAATATTGATTTGTTACTGATATATCTAAAATGATGAAAATTGATACATAATCGTGTAATGCAGATTGTTTCCGGGCTTGTTTACAAGACAAAGAGAAAACAAATTGATGCTGCGAAAAAATCTAGAATGGGGTATAATGACGTCAGGGGTATATCAATGCATGTTTTATAACAGGATTAATAAAATGGTAAATTTTCCGTTTTTCTATTGATTGTACAAAATTCAGCAATTGTATTTGTGACAGATCTGTCAGCTTAAAAAAAAATCTTGTTTAAAAATCGCAAGACGAATGTAACTGAATATAATCAAATGCATATGAAAATCCTGATGTAAGGAAATGAAAAATAATAGTGCCCATAATTTGTTGATAGCTTTCAAAATAAAATTACCTTGAATTAATATGACTTCATCACAAAGTAAAGAAAATATAACATAATAGTTACATATGCATGAAATAGGTTGACCCCAAATCATTAGTCGTATCTACAAAGTCATCTTAAGCCTCATTATTATCATTGTAAATTGTAAGGCGTTAAAATATCGTAAATGTTAAAAGGTTTGCAGTTTGACATAACACCACTTATTATCAAACTGAGTCAACAATATATTTTTAATTCGCTCTCGAGGGATCTCTCTTACTTGTGTGAATATAATCCTTACAAAGAAGGGTAAAAAGAAAATATCATGTGTTGTTTTTACTTTTATTTGAAAGACATTAACAATATGGCACAGTTTAACTGAAAGGCACTTTAACGTCATGCATATATTATAAACAAGATCGTACGCCAAAATATGATTAAGACAACATTATACATAGTTATATTCTGTCTGCTATTGAAAATCATTGCGTCTCAAGTTGTTCGCAGATGGAATGGTTATTTTGGCGCCTAAGTCTTAAACTTATGAATGATATTTCCTGAACGTTAGTTGTTCGGCGTTAATAATCCTTGAGTAAACATAAATTTATTCCCTTTCATTATTCATAGTTAAAAATCTTTTCGTCTCAGATAGACTAAATTTATTAACATTAGCTAATTCATTCAGGTAACTTGTTCACAGGTAAAAATATTTGCGTCTGAGCCTTAAATGTTTTTTCTATATGGTAATTTATGAGCGTTAGTTATTCGTCGTTTAGAATCCTTGCCTGAACGTAAATTCATTTCTAAAAATTTACCATTGAAAATCTTTGCGTCTTAGCCTTGCATTCATAAATGTTAATTCATTCACGTTAGTGATTGTCAAATTGGGAAATTTTTCTATTGAGTCTGAAGTCATCTTATGTTTACATGAGAGCAGCCTAAAGCCTTCCACATATAATTGTCTAAACATTTTTAAATTCTCCGACTTTGGTACCTCTCCCCAACCGAAATGTATTTCAATTAATAATTGTCTAACTTTCTTTAATAGTCCGGAGTCGATTAATCTCGGGATGATTTTCCACTCTTCACCATCTAGATCCATCTTTAAAATGTCTATAATTTCCTGAAAGAAAACAATATATTTTCGGTAACAATGGTTTCATCAAAATGAAGAATTCACTATAATTGGAATGAAAATAATTGGAGGAACAAGCACACAGCACAATTATAATTGGCCATTAAATACCGCAAGTCTTATCATATACAAGGAAAACTCTCACAATAAAACACGCGCGCACGCACGCACGCACCAACGCACGCACGCACACACACACACACACACACACACACAAGATGTCTATCTTCACAAACCCTCTGCTAAGGAATGCGATATATCAACTCTGTCGAGTCTATAAGACGGGCATACATGTCCCATTTACAGAACCTTCTACTTGCAAGTCAAACGAGTATTCCAGTTTTAGGAATTTTATATGATTCAGTTCTTTTTACGTTATTTTGTTTATCATAATTTAGTTTGAGTTTAGTTTCTTAATTATTTTTAATCCATCTTTAAGTATTTACATATATTATTCTATTATACAAAGTAGTAATAATGTCACTGTTAATTCTTATAGATTTTAGAAATGGCTCTTGTAAATGCACAATTGTTCATGCGAAAGGATTTTAGATAATGTAGTGTGTTTCTGATAAACTACTGTTAACCACAGACCTTTTAACAGATATTTTATATAGGGCTGTAGAAATTTATATCTGTATATATGTATTTCAAAAGAATCACAACAAAAATCAAAACTAATCTATTGCCCGGTTAATACAATGCTTCATATAAACAAGAACTTGAGTATACACCTACGTTTGGCTTAGGGAAGACCTTCCGGATCAGGATGAACATTTTATTGCTTTTTTTTTCTTCGTTGTCAAAACTTTTTTCTGTTAGTTCAAGGCGATGAATTGTTATACCTTTTGGGAATTTGATATCGTTGTCATGTGACGAATCTTTATTTATCTGCTCGCTATCTTTGTCTTCGTGTTTAAGTCTGGAAATATTGAATTATAAATTAGATCTAGAACATGATCGCACTTATTGAAAAATGTCTACTTTAAACTCTTTAATCTTTATCAAAATCAAATAATATAAATGACCGGATTTGTTAATTTTTCAATTATTAATGACATACTAGTATCTTATTAATGAAGGCGATTTTTCTTCAATACATTAAACGTTTGCATGAGTGCTCCAACGAACTGAAGCCACTTGGGTCATTTGATCAGGGACATTGCCTGAAGATGACAATGTAGAATTGATTTTATACCACTAAATTATATTGATATGTCCGGATTCTAATCCAAAACTAAAAAAATAATAGATGAAAGATTTATTTTCACGATATTTAAATCGTGTAGCTAACAGTATGGCGTTAAGTCAGACGGGCATGACGGCCTGGTTCCATGCTGGTTGTAGGGTTAGTCTATCATATAAACGACGTCAGTGAGCAGAATGTAAGCAAAAAAAGCAGCATGCGCTAAATAGTTTAAAATCGATTTATCATCACATACTATTGATATATTATATAAATGTAATTAAGAAACAACAGATTTGTTTATACTGCGTCATCTGATTTTTAGTTAGAAACGTAAACATTAACATTAAACTTATATATAATGAGTTTAGACTACTCCTCACAAAGACTTACAAAAAAATATTCACTAGATTTTGGTTCTTATAGATTGATATTATAAATCTGAATAAAAATACAAACTATGGAATATAAATATATATAAAGAAACAACAAAAACACAAACAAAACTTGGACACATTTATATTTCATATAAACATTGACATATTTAATCAGTTAACATTTTTACTTTTGATAACATAACATGGTAATAGAATCTTTATTTCTCTCAAGACATGTAAGAATGCAAATATGAGGAATTTACAATAATTGCAATAAACATCAATATTGAACCATATTATGTTTTGAATGTAACGCCAAATAATTATGATGTTTTGAATATAATGCCAAATCAATATTCGTTTCAGATGCGTCATAATATTCATTTCCTGTATTAAAACTTCCAAATGTGTGGCCCAACACTTGGATTTTTATTATTGTAACGGTTTTACGTAAAATTGCGCTAAAATACACTTTATGTCCGTCATAGTATTACAAGTTGTTTGATTGGATAGTTTTCAATGAAAAATATTTACATTAAACACTTACCTAGGACTAAACATTGCATGAACATCGCAATTATATTCTTTCTTTACATGAGATTCAAATTCAAAGTTGAAATTGTCCCTGGAAAATACGCAATTCCCATAGAAAATGTCAATATAAAGTGCAATATTTTAATTTTGTACATGCAAAAAAGTTATAAGCTTCATTGACCTTGTTTTTTTAAAAATAAAATGTTTATTTAAGAATTCGTTCTTGCATGACCTGTAAGCTTTATTGCAATGTTCCTAGCATAAATAAATGTGTACACAGAAAGTATTTGAAGTGGCATTATGCTTACCCCTGTCATGTTGAGTTAAATTAGTTATATATTTATATATTTCAAGAGGTTGACTATTATAAATTATAATAACTGATAATGAAAAATGTTTATGATAATATAAGAACTACATGTACCTATATCACAAAAATACTGCCACGAGCTTTTTCAAGAATTAAAAGTTATATGTTGAACAATATTCATAAAATTTTTCGTTTGTAACGTGGTTAATTGATAATATTTTCATAGTTAAATAAAATGTTTCCCGATTATGGCAAATGCAACTTAACACTGACCATTTGCACTTGAATTGGCATTATATCATTTTAAGAAAATGATGACGAATGTTTTTCTGTATAAAAATCTGGACAAAGTTGATCCCTCGGAAATACTTATCACAACAAATTTAAATGAAAATTCCAGACTCGGTTTGATTGAGTCTGTACTTGATGGATACTGATAAAGCGCAACATCCCTCACGCCCCCTAGCACCGACTTGACCGGTACTCAATTTTCAATGCTTAAAAGTGTTGGCATCAGTGATCCCGTAGGACCAGAAAATTTAGCAACACTGAAGTGAAGAACCGGTCAACTTTTTGCAGCTGCCACCATACACTTAACACCTGCTGTTGTGAAGTATAAAAAATCTAGATTAAGTGTGATCCCTCGGAAGCGACAGCTTATAAGCCGCGCCCGGTCATCTAACTGAACGACCTTTAACCCTTGTGCACATATAAGGGGACTGTCATGGTCGTTTTAAGATTTCAAAAAAAAAAAAAAAAAAGAATCCTGCGAGAAAAGAAGCATTTTCGACGTTTGTAGTTAACGCCGTATTTCATTGGAAAAACGTGACTTTTACATAGTATATATACACGACTGCAGGCGTCGTTTTATGAAGTAATTTCATTTGCTTTTCACTAAAATAAAGGGTTGGCAGTATTATAAATTCGTTTTAAATCTTTTGACAAATAATATGACCGTTTGTAAAAAGTTATTTGCAATATAAACATCACCTTTTGGTATAACGAGTCAAAAAATATATAATGATATAGTATTGCATTTATCTTTGCTGTGATATATATATATATGTATAGCATAATTTACTTACGCAATGGAATATACTAAACAATTATTTTCAGAATGTTTTAGTTTGTCCTGGCATATCTTTTGCCCATCGTGATGTGATGATAAACTCGTTATGTTCTTGCATCCAATCTGTACTGTATTTATATAACTGCAAGTCAAACGCAATGAATTACACGCAAGAAAATGTATGGAAGTATAGGACATTTAGATCCGATTGTATATATAATTATATAGAAGATAGACAATGAAGAGATGTTGTTAAAGTTAAAAAAAATATGTAGATTTTATTCTTGACAAATTCAGTAATATTACAAAAGCAAGAAGCCTAACTTGCATTTTTGCTTTAACTTAATATTTTGACTTAATGTCTGGTTATGATGGTATCCATATTTCTTTAAACGGTAATTTCTTTTACATTGAAATAACGTCATCTTAATTCCCACGCCATGTTTTGAAAAAAAAAATGTCAAGCATACATTGTCAAACATAGGATACATGTTACTTTTTATATATAATGAACTAATAATGAGCTAACAATGAACTAATGTCATTACTTTACTTACAACCAAAATACCCTTGTTAAATTTATATTAGACAGGCCGTCCAAGATAACATCTTTAGGTAGACGGTAGTGTTTCGGTCCTGTAACGTTTAATTTTACCGGGGAATTCGTAATATCTCGTCGACGTCTGGAGTCCTGAAATATATATGAGCCGCGTCACGACAAAACCAACATAATGGGTTTGCGACCAGCATGGATCCAGACCAGCCTGCGCATCCGCGCAGTCTAATCAGGATCCATGCTGTTCGCTATCAATTTCTTATTTGTTATAGGGTTTGTAAGCGAACAGCATGGATCCAGATCAGACTGCGCGGATGCGCAGGCTGGTCTGGATCCATGCTGATCGCAAACCCATAATATGGGTTTTGTCATGCCGAGGCTCAATTTTGTAACGTAAAATAAGAAGCATTTAGCTGTTTTGCTTCGAACTTGACTACGAACACTTTTCTATAAACAATTGAATAATAGGAACTCCACTGAGGTCCAAAGACATAAAACACAACTTTGGATGTTTTACATTGATCAAGTGAAACACTTAAGATCAGAAAGATATGGAAAAAAAAACAATAAGAAATATACTTGGAAATAAAATGCTTATTGTATTTTGTGTGCTATTCATAGCCTAACTTGAGTGAAAAGCGTTGAAATAAATTGCTAAGTGTATTTTGTGTGCTATTCATAGCCTAACTTGAGTGAAAAGCGTTGAAACGCTTTTTTCAATTTTGGATCATTCTTTGTGATTAGAATAATTATTCTGGAAAAGGTTTGATCGAAATAATTTTAAGTCACGTCATGTCAAAAAATAACCACAGTGGAATCCCTTTTATGATTTCAGGTTATACAATAAAAATGATTTTTCTGTATATGAACTTTAAAATGATTTTTCATAAAGATATGTACTTAAACAAATAAATATGAAACACAGATATTAAGTTGCATTTTCAGTGAAAAGTCTTACTTTATGTGAAATATTGTAAGAAAACTCACAAAAAAACGCAAATATGCATCCATAAACAGGTTTTGAAATACACGCAATAAAAATCTACGTACACGTTTATGCAGATATCTTTATACAGGTATTTATCTTATTTAAGTATCACTTTTCACACAAAGCAAGCAATGAACTTGAAATTAAACGTAAAGCTAAATCGATAAGTTTTATAAACATGTAAATATTTGTAAAGCTTTTCTTGATAAGCGTAAACTACTAGATATGATTTATACTTAAATATATATCACGATGTTGCATTCAATCAACTGCGCTGTGCAATCAATGGACAGTTATAGAGAATTTTTTAGACATTATTGATGATAAACCAAGAAAACAAGCACATGCATTTTTTGTTGTTGATAAAATCAATTTTTATCCTTCAACAGGCAAGTTAAGAAAAGTTCACGATTGACTGATAAAAGCATATTTAAGAATTATCTTCAATGTCTACTTACATAAGTTTTTGAAGTATAGAACGGGTACTGGACATCTTGAAACCCATGCTCATGAAGGGCACTGATTACCCCCAAAGTAACAAATAATGCGATGATTACAATAGTCAGGTATAATACCCGTAACGTAACGTTCTGGTCTGTCATTTCTATTTCTTTCAACACATCATGTTAGAAATACATTGCGTTAACGTTCCAATTACACAAAGTGTTGCAGATCATATAATATCCATGTCTATGTTTACATAAACACTGCTTATAAATAAAGCCAGCTGTGCAATAAAACATTCATTAGCTTTGTGTTTACCGATATATCAATAAATAATTCATTTCATTCTAACAGAAAAATAGTTTAATTGAAACACATATAAGTCCTTGTAGACAAACGCACAAGAGAAATAATAACAGTTGAGCGTTTCGAATGACGCAGATCGATTTGTTTTGTACCCTGGGTAGCGTACCATGACTGTACTGTAATATACCGTTAATGTATAGTTTATATTTTTGCATGGTTAACCCGTCAACATAGAACGCTAGACAGTGTGTTACACGTGTTAATTGAAATCCACTGGGCTGATTAAAACTGAAACAGCTGTTTGATTTTGTATGTGTTGACATGAATTTATTTACATTTACAACTTTTACTTTATATTCATAATTTTTAATTTTATTCATTCAGTATAAAGTTAGACATATTCAATTTACGCACTTTTTTAATCTTCATACAACGTTTTGTTTTAAAAGACGTAAATGACAATCGCGTATCATAAATAAGAAAACCTGTTACGGATGACATGTCGAGAAAAGGCTTATCAACTTAATTCATAAGCAAAGACCCTGTGCCTCTCAACGACGGGCACATATACCGATGGATTGAGAGAGCTTAAATGTTTGCAATGTTATCACAGGCTATTTATATTTTCTCAATGGCTCAAATCGTTGTTGGTACATTTGACAAATAAACATGTATAAAAAAAATCAATTAAATATATGTATAAATATTTTCATATATTATGATGCAACAAATCAAGTAACATTCAGTTAAATAACTATGTACAATTTTGATAGACAAACAATTTCATTTTTGCAATTGTAACTTATGAATACACTGATGCAAGATTTTTCTGAATGGTTAATATAGAATGTCGGATACTACATATGAATGCAGTTTTCATTTAAGCGACTGTTTGACTATAACTATAGAAATATAAAGCAAAAGCGTTTTTTTTCTTATAGTAAGGTGTTTCAGTCTCCTTAGATAGTGTAGACTTTTTATGTTGGAATCTTCTTATCTGCCTCTGTTGTTTTAGTATGTTTCTTTGCTTGCTGAGCATGTATTTTTTTTAACGATATCACACCCTTAAATATTAAGATATTCATTAATTGTCTTCTGATTCTGTCTTCAACCATTGTGTCTCTTTCAGGCATACATTGTAAGCCAACGCCACTTCTTGTAGTTTCTTTGTTTGTATGTAACATAACCTGGAGTACTATTCTCGTGGATGAATGACCATTGGTTATATTTTCGGATGTTGTTAAGCTTCGCCAATTACCCATCCTGATGATTTTGCCTCTTTGTGACTGTGTATATGTATGATTAAAAGTCGAACATAGTGTAACATGAGCACCTCGCTCTCCATACACTTGGACGTCAGTAATTAGAACATCTCGTTTATCTTATCTATTAAAAAAATCCAAAACATCATCAAACAATATTTAAGATCATAATGAAATCGCAACATCGATGCAGTGCATGCATGCATGTACATGTATATCGCCTGCTATTAGTTTATCAACATGTTTTCTTCTTCTGTTACAATATATACGATTTATTATAATTTGACATTGAAACATTAGTTTTTTTCAGTAAATGATAGGTGCAGATAGGTATAAATTTACACTACCAACAAAATTTCATGATATATATAAATGTAAACATTCATTAAGTTTTAAAAGCTGTCGTTACCTATAACATGTCATGCTTATTGGCACTATATTTGATAAATATCCGCATCGTTTTGAATCGCTCGAGCAGACTCGCTTTTCTACCAAGTTAAAATCGTTTTAATGTATAGAAACGACGAAATTCCGATTTGTGTTTGATTTTTATCACGTTAAAGCGACGGGAAGGCAAACAAAACATACGGAAGTTATAAGATCTACCTCGACATTTGCAATCTTAATTTGTTTTTTAGATTAATGAAAGAAACATGTCAAATCTTTCGAAAGGAAACTCAAAATCGCAATTATTAAATGAGGAAGAAAACCTGTTCCTGTTTAATGTTCTCGGAAAGGGATGCTTTGTAAGTACCAATCTTTTACTTGTTTACTTTAATTGTGTGTTTTATTTAAAGAAAACAAATTTTGGACCAGTATCAGTTACTTACAAGCAAATTGTTAAACGTCTAAACAAGTAAAGTTTTTTTTCTTAATCTCTACATATTCAGCGTTTTGTCATATTGTTTGTAGTTAAAAAAAACAGCTATGATATCGCCATGATCTATTATAAAGTACTTGAAATGAACACTGCTCTAGAGATTCACATGTAATAAATAGCAAACGCATTTTTGTGTTCGCACTCGAACATGCTTTAAACTGTTTTGGAGTATATTTGGAGGAAAAGCAATCATTTTCACATTGTGTTATCAATTGACACCATATATCAAATATAAACGTGTTTATTTTCAATTCCGAAATAAAACAATTTTCAATAGATCTTCCTCAATTATTAAAAAAAGTATTGAGAATCATGTTCGACATTATTAGCAATTATGTTAAAATACAATTTTGTTAAATACAATGTACATGTAGTGTTTGCAGAAGAGGGGATAAAATTATAAAGATAATAAGATCAAATTTCATTTTCAAAAAAATGAAAAATGTATCAGTTGAGCACATATGTCATCTCGATTTAGTACAATGATTTTGTTCGCAAAGTCTGATAGTTGAAGTATTCTATGTAAAAAATCTTGTAAATACATCACATACATTGTAAAGCGTGATTATACATTATCATTTCATATAATATTCCTTATCATTACCATTAACATTTTTATATTTATTGTTTAGACCCTAGCAACCGGTGTAGCACAACTCTTTGTGGTTCGTTGTCATGGAAACAGACATCAATGGGTAAAACAATGTTGTGGTGTCGTCTGCTTTGTGAAGGATAATCCGAAAAAATCTTACTTCCTACGTCTTTATGATATACAGGTAAGTCCCCCTTTTAAGATTTTGAATCACAAACATTTAGCCTGGACAAATTTGAATGAATGATATGGATGCATGTATATGTTACTTAATGAATATATATAATTTAAGCGTTAACACATCACTTACCATACGTAACCGATCAAAAAACGTTAACTTGTAAATAAGATGGTATAAATCTTAAACACATTTTAATTGCTATCATACCTGCCATAGATCACATTATATACGTTAGTCAAGTCCTGGCTTCTTTTGTGAGAGAAAACCTAGCCGGGTTATATATTGCAGGAGGCTCTAGCCAAAGTTGTCCCCTTTGTATTAGAGGTCGCATGAGTCTTCTTCTCCCTATATGGCTTACCATTTGCTAACGAACAGGAACGTGTTATCGCAAATTTACGCGTAAATAATGAAAGTATTTATCAATTAGAAATTAATCAATGGTACACTGTATCGGTATTACCTACTGACTTAAATGATAAAAACTTCTTATCACTAGAATTTTAATGCTTTTTTTTTACTTTCAATTGAATGAACCTCACATGTTATAGATAATGTAAGTTTGTTAGTATTGGTTCCGCGCCAGTGTTCACTACAAACATACAGAAACTCCATCAAAGTAACCTTATCTGTACACAGTAATCAACATAAAGTTTTTTTCGGGGGACAGGTTTTCAGTCAATTCAACAGTGTCAAGGTTTCACAGTAATTAATCACGAAGAAACCCAGATATCTCCTTGCACATTATGTCATATAATGACGAAAAGCGGGTTAAAACCACTGTCTTTGCAATTTAGGTAGATAGCCAACTCACATGTTAGAATTCAATATTAAAAATGGAAATTTTGACAAAATTGAACGGCATACAACTATACCTGTATTATTGTGATAAATGTCCTTGTTGACCCAGTACGAAGGGAAGTAACACTGATTGAAACCTTCAACAACATGCAACAAGAAATTGCATACCTCGAAACTAAAACTGAATTAGTAAATGCTATCGAAGACACCGTATCCGTATATCTTATTAGTTAAAACTTTGCGGTTATATGATCCTGTTTAAGCGGTTGTACGCATATATTATTGACTTAATTTGTTTAATATTTTCCTGATTTCAGAGTCAACAGTTGCTATGGGAACAAGAACTATATACCAAATTCATTTATAATTCCCCAAAAGAGTTCTTTCATACTTTTGAAGCACATGTAAGTAATAAGGTGAATTCGATTAATTTAATTTACAAAAGATCTTTCTTTCTGGCTTCATTATGAAAAATAACAAAACTTTCTTCTATTTTCTATAAAGATATTTATATAAAGATATTATTGGACTGAATTATATCACTTTAAAAATCAGGTGAAAATTAAATTAAATCTTAATTTCCTGTTGACTGACTAAAGGAAAAGGAATTTAATTAGTAAAAAAAGCACTATGTAATTGCATTTATTCGAAATCAATTTCACTTTACCTTTCAAATATGTAAAACCGAATTGTATTCAAATACGAGTGATTGAAATAGAACTCTCAAGACAAGTTATTTAATTGAATGTCAATCTATTATCTTGCATTAATATTCAATTTCCATATGCTTGCATAATTATGTGCGACTTAGTTAATGATGATTTTTTAAGAAATTCATCTTTAAGAACGCTATGTTTTTACTCCTTTTATAAACCCGCTAGGATTACCACGCAGGGCTGAACTTTGCAAGTGAGGATGAAGCAGTCCATTTTGCAAACGTTGTTGAAGGCAAGCTACTTGGTAAAACATCTAAACGTAAAGGTAAGAAGTGCTTACTTTGGAAAAATGGTGTTTTTCCATTCAAAATATATTGTGCATATTTGATTTACATTTATTCCAAATTAAGTATCTCTCAAACAAGTAAACGAAAGGTACATAATAAGATCTAGTAATAGATATTTTTCATTTCTTTACAGCTGCATTTTCTTTTGCTTTCACATAAGACTATTGTTATATATAAAAAAACACATGGGTTTGTGGGTAACAGTAAAAATATCATCCCGAGGAAAATACTGTTACCCGGGGCGTTAGATTTTTATACTGTTTAAAAGTACTGTTACCCTGTAACTGAATAAATTTCTTAGACACTTGGTACACTTGCTTAGTCAGTAAGAATATAACTGGAAATTAACATTACGAAAAAGGTCACGGGTAATTATATACATTTAGTTGTTTATAATTAGTCTTTCCACGCCTGATAAAGACTTGTTCTTTCAAGAGCAACATTCTCACTAGATTGTGTGCAAAACACAAGATAATTTACTCGATTTGTTATGACCGACCTTATCCATGTCTACATAAGCAATTTAGTACGAGAAAATGTGATTTCACAGTTGGAGGGCAGGTAAACACAGCAATTGGAAATATTGCCGTAGACAACTTTGTGCTACAAAATTGCTTATCTTGAAAAGTTTTTTTTTTAATTTTACCGAGAACGGTGACTTTCCTTCCGAAAATAATGGCCAAATCTAAACAGCACAATTCAGTCGGGTCTGCTGTAATAAATGAAGAATCAATCATATTTCCTTATTATTATACTATTACCATTCAACTCACCGCTTCAACATACGCCTTGACGATTTTCTAGTTTCATTTGAATAATGTGCTACAAGTTTCGTCATTTCTTTCTTTCTGTCTAATTTTTTGGTTGGGTTCGACGTCGCCATAACGCAGCGAATGTCACATGGCGACTTTTAGCTTTACTGATTGAGGACGATCTCAGGTGCCCCTTCGTACATTTCAGACACTAACGGACATCTGTTAAGATCACCAATTTTACGCAAGGTAGCTGGATAGCTTCATCACATGAAAGAATCCAAAGTGCTTGGCAGGAATTGGACCAACAGCGGTGAGGTTTGAAGTCATCGACCTCAACCACTTGCCAACTAATATCCCCTATTTATACCACATTTAACAGCTTTGAAGAAAATAGGTGACGTATAAAGATCTATTAATGCTTTAATATAATATTAACCTGTTTTTTATTTAAAGCAAGAGAAGACAGAAAAGCAGAAATGATACCGGTTACATCGAAACCAGAAGCAAACAAACCAGCGCACGGAACAGGTATGAAATCAGATATTACTTTGGTTAAAAGGCACATCCTGCCTCGGAAACTAATATATTTTTTTCTTTTTTAGAATGTTTAAATAACAGTTTAAGAGCATCTTACGAGGGTTGTCCCAAAGGTCTCTTGCCTTTAAATGGCACAAATGATTCGTTGATAGATGGACAGAAGAACAGCGGGGAAATGCAGAGGAGAAGTTGCCGATCGGCAGATTCAGTCAGTTACGGGCGCCATTAACGAAGATCGGAGACTGACTATCCGGGAAGTTGAATTGATAAGCGGATGTATGTAGTAAATCGGCCGTGCATCGCATACTACACGAAAACCTGAACATGGCAAGAGTATGTGCCAGATGGGTACCTCGTTTGCTTAGCAATGAAGAAAAATAAACGCGTGTACGACTGTCAACCGAATTTCTGCGGCAACATGATGTCGATCAACAATTTCTTAGCAAAATTGTAAGCATCAATGAAACCTGGCTCCATTACTATGACCCGAAAAATAAAAGTCAGTCAAGTGAGTGGAAAACAGCTGCCTCTCCGTCACCGAAAAGTGCAATAGTTACAAAATCAATGGGAAAACACATGTTTACCGTGTTTATTGAAAGGAAAGAGGTACTTCCCTGTCATGCTGTCCAACTTGGCCAGATACTACTCAAAGGTTGGTCTAAAGTTACATTCCTTGTAATTATTACGGTAATAACTTATAATAATGATTGATTTCTCCTTCGTAATCAGAATAAAATCCTAAAGTATAATCACATTTTCAATATGAATTAAACTGACTTATCAGATAATCATAAGTGATGTATTAAATGCGATAAGAAAGAAGCGTCAAGCGTTAATTGACAACATGGAGAACATTATATTTCATCAAGATAATGAACCTTGCCAAAGATCTCAGGAGACACAGCTAGAACTTGATGTGATAGGTTTTCAGAGACTTCATCACGCGCCATACAGTCCAGATTTAGCGCCCTTAGACTTTGCAGTGTTTCATTATCAGAAATCACAATTATGTGGTTACAGGTTTGAAAACCCCAGCGAACTCCGTCAGGAAACTCTACGAGTGTTGAGTGCATTAAAGCAGGACTATTTTGTGAAAACGTTTACGATAAATGGGTCGCCCGACATCGGAAGTGCATTGAGAAATACGGAGGATACATTGAAAAACATTTTAAAAATTCTAATGACGTTATGACATTTATGACGGCGTGCGCCGGGTATGTATAGGCAGCATTCTTTAAATTTCGATGACTTGGTCAATTTTGGAGGTATTTTGTATATATTTCGCATATACATGCATAGCACGTGTATTGACTTTTCCTTAGCTGGATTATTCTATAGTACTATAAATAATTGAGTAACAGACTTTGTCTACGATATTTTGGGATATCGTAGGGTTCCTCTTTCCTAATAAAGGAGGGGCTGTTTTGGCCTGTAATGGCACATAAACTAATAAAACATTTAACTTAGGATGAAAGAAAACGCAACACAGCTACTTGTGGCGCAAACCAATGGAAGTGTATTTAAATGCAACACGTATGTCATTTCAATAATTGAATACATTACGAGTAATAAATAACAAGCAGAATTACCTGTAATGGCACGGAAACAACTAAAACAATTTACTAGTGATGAAAGAAAAAGCAACACAGCTACTTCGTGGCGCAAACCAATGGAAGTGTATTCAATGTGCGCATGCGTGTTTTTCAATCCGGGTGAGTAAATGTGAGGAGGCCCGTCCAGAAGAAATTAGTTTTTATGAATTATATAGAATGACATTAAGTGAAACATGTTGCAATTAATGAAAAAGATGAATGAAATGAGAAAAATATGGGAAATAGATGGGACAATTAAATAGGACATGTACATATATAACAAAATGACAAACGACACAATATATAAGACATGCATACAAACAATAAATTATACATGTCGGTATATAACCCTAATGACAGGGACAACCCTCGTAATTGCTTATCATCCTAAGAAAATAGCACTGAATGTTTAATTATTCATGAAATAAGAAAAATGTAAACAAGGTAGTATTTTGACTTCCATTCAAAATACAAATTCACTGAAACTGTATTAGCTATCAGAATATAACAAAAGCTAAACATGATTCAGGTCATTGACTTATGAGTATCTTTTTGGAAAGTATAGCAGGACATCAAATATTAAAAGTTTTAGAAACAAAAAATAAAGCATTTCTGTGGCATAATGGGCCTTTAAAAATCACAAATATAACAAAAACAAATGTTGAATACAAAATATTCATAAAATTATTTACTTTATTCTCTTATAACATGTTTAGAATATTGCTATATATACAATGTACTATTTTTTGCGTGAACTACTACTTGACGTGGCTAATTGTTTAAAGCATACAAAAGTTACTAAAATCTAGTTTTCGTTTAAACTAAATTCCATTTCTAATATATTCACATATCAATGAAATGGAATGATATGCGATATAAAAAAAACCTGTTATTATGTCCCCAGTCACCGATTCTGCAAACACAGTTTCTGTAAATGTCCTGCCAGACATTCCAGAGACAGAGAAGACAACAAAACCAGACAGCAAAGTTATCATGAGGAATAAGAAAGGGAAGAAAAGTAAGAAACTCTCGAAAGACGATGTAGGAGGACCCGTTAACTTTGTACATGTCAGTCATATGAGTTGGAGCGTAGACGACGGTCCACATGTAAGAAATTTTCCTAAATCATTACACAGGCACAAAAAGATTTGTTTATCGCTTTGCAAAAATTAATAAACTACGATAGCTGGTTTTGCTTTTCACAACTTGGTCTTCAAAAATGAATTTCAGTTAAAATGCATCGACAAGATTCTCATGTTGTACTTTCTGTTTAAAAATTAATTACACAACCTATCACCATTATTTTGTAATTATACCCCCCCCCCCGCTCTAGGGGGACATTTAGATTTTCCCTTGTCCGCTCGTCTGTGCGTGTGTGTGCGTGCGTTCTTAAGGTGCATGAGCTATGTGGTCAGTGTGTGAGATTGTACATAGTTGTTTTAAATGTTGATATGTAAGTAAAGGTGATATGTAAGTAAAGGTTAATGTCATTCAAATAGCAAACCTTATTTTGTTGAAGTTCTACTATACTTGTTTGATTGATTAAATTATTCTATACAGATGGATAAACTTGACAATGACATGAAAGAACTGTTAAAGAAAATCGGTGTTGTGGACCGATCACAAGTAGATAATGATACAATGGACTTTATATGTGACTTTGTCGACCGGCATGGTGGGGCAAATGCTGTAAAGGAGGATTTTGCCTGGCACGTCCCTGCAGAACCGTCTCTACATAATGATATGCAAAATACTGCGAAACATCATCCAGTCGCACACCCACATACCAGAGGCAAACCGAGCATTTTGAACAGACCACTTCCAGCCTTACCCACGGAAACTAAAGGTAACATTCACTGTTGCGTTTTGTCTGCTTTTCTTGCAAAGTCATCTTCATATATTGTAATCGTATCAAAGATAGACATTACTTTAATAAAACATAGAATCACACGATATGTGACTTTCACTCAAAACCAAACACATGGTACATCTTTTATATTTTCGTTATACAAAATCAATATGAACACTAAAGTCAATAATGACTTAATATAAAACTTTGCACCATAGGCGTCGCATGTTTCAAGAAAATGACATATATTTAATTTTATAGCAATGGAACACTTTATGTGTTTTTAAAATTTCAAAAGACGCATTTTTGTTAGAGACCATTACTTTGTAGAAAGCTTTTTATGAAATGCATGCATCTTAATTTTTCATACTTTTTCCTGTCAAAGTAAATTTTCCGGTTGAAAGAAACTATTTTTGTTTAAGGATACTTAAAAATTATGTATGACCGTAAATTGATTATATTCTGATTATTTTCATATGTGATCAGGAAACCGAGTGATAATTTCTTTTTCTTTTTTTCCAAAGCAGAAAATCCGAAATCACCAAAAGGAAAGTATATGGTTGAAAGACCAATTGTAAAACCTGATGAGTTAGCAAACAAATCGTCATTACTTCATAAGAATTCTATCAAGTCTACAGAGTCATCTAAATCGTCAAGATCCCCGCCTAATATCAAGCATGAGCTTGCAGGCAGAAAACCTCCATTGCCCGGACCTTCACCAAATGCCATTCACCAAACCACAATATCAACACACCCCACAGTATCAACTGTTCCCAATTCAGTTATTTCTAAAAATGGTCCAAATAGCATATCTGCTTCTACAACACCCTCAGTTATCAATTCTCTACAAACGCATTCTTCAATTGAACCCCATTCCTCAAAATCCGATATTCGAACCGTTTCCCCAAAAAATACAACCATTGCTACATCACATACAACAGTAGAAAAGGGCCAAATCAATCCCAGTGTTACAACACATAAATCACCACTTCCTCCACCCAAATCTATGATACCTGATCACACCTCTCATTTTCCTCCTTCTCCACCATCAAATATACTGCATTCACCTACGCATTCCCCGCATCATCCTTCAAAAATGATACCGGGTTCACCTTCGCATTCTTACCCACCATCGATTATACCAAATCCACCAACGCACATTAACTCTCGTCCTCTACCAATAAAGCCAGATCCACCACCGCGCTCTAACACTGGTCCTCCGCCTATCAAACCGGATCCACATATGCATTCCTTGCCTCCGCCTCCGCCAATTATACCGGATCCAACTACACATTCACTTCCTCCTCCTCCACCAATTATACCGGATATAACTACACATTCTCTGCCTCTGCCCCCACCTCCGCCCGCCATACCGGATCCACCTCCCCCTCCGTCAAATATACCAGTTCCACCAGAGCATTCTATGCCACCCCCTCCGCCATATTTACAAGACGCACCTACGCATACTCATTTCGGAACTTCTACAGAGAAAATTCTACCGCCGGAAAATAGCACAAGGGCTGGATTATTGGATGAAATACAGACATTTAAAGGGCATGATTTGAAGCACGTAGAAATAGATGAGCATGTGTCAGACAGAGGAGGGCTACTAAGTCAAATCCGAAAAGGAACAATTCTTAGACATGTAAGTTTTTGTCTTTTTCTCTTTTTTATCTCACAACATTCATTTCAAAACATCTTTTTGAACAAAAACATCAACATCAGCAACAAAAATATCCGAACCCGTCACTTTTAACACACTCAAAGTATTTGAAAAACGAGTCAGCAACTCTCATGGACAGTAAGTAAGTAACTAGAAAATTAAACATATTTGACCTAATCAAACTGAGTTTGCAATTTTCATATTACTTTGTTGTGTGGTTCGATCCCCGGGAGATGCTTTGGTAGTTTAGCGCGAAGGAAGGTAGTCTAGTACTGGTGTAACTCTCCAGGAACGATGGTTAGGAAACTACCCACCTATATGACTGATATACTGTTATAAAAGGGCGTAAAATGAAACAAACAAACAACTTTGTTGTGTTTAATGATTTCGAGGGTTCACACTTTATCCAGATTTTAACTGGTAGTTATCAAGAAATTATAGATCTCTGCCATCACTGCAGCTCTGTTATCACTGGCGGCGGTAATAATATTTGTCAACTAAGTAGTTAGATCTTCCCGTGCACTTTATTTTGTCTTTCTCTACTTTAACATCGGAGTCTTAAATACAAAAATTCATGTAAGAAACTTTTCAAACAAAAAAAATATAGGAGAGAGAAGCAGAATCCTTAAAGAAAGCCCAACACGACAGAATTGTAAATATTGCAAGCTCGGTTTGATTGAGTCTTTTCGTGGAAGATAGTGGTAATTCCAAGCTATCGTCCTCGCCCTCTAGCACCGGCTTAAGCAGAATTTAACCCTTACCATGAATTGGTAAAACATAGAATTTTGAAACATCCGCATATATGTCCATATGGCGGTTATCATTAAACCTTCAATTCGACACGTTAGCGCCATTCAATCCGATGATTGGGAACCGAATGTTTATTTTCCAGCTGTAATGGGGTTCCTGATTTCCGATTAGTGAAGATAATTATAACAAGGCTTAAAATGACTGAATTCGAACCACTCCACCATAAATCTTTATGACGTTTTAAATCGTCTTAATAAATCTCCATACAGGTTGATATTGAAGAAAATCCAACATCTGCGAAACGTGGTAGTATAGCAGCAGCCCTCATGAATCAGCTGATGATGAGAAAAACAATTGTTCAGTTTTCAGGTATGAATACTTTCGTTTTCATTGGGCAATTGCGACTTAAATTTTGATTCTATATACGTCTGCTGTAGATTTATAAAGATTTAGAGGATATTTCTTTGTTTTGCATGTAAGATTGAAATACATTTCATTGAGCAATATTTTCATGAGAGGCACAGTCACGATTAAAAATAGAATAGCTGGTGTTCACGAATCTTATATGTAAAACAAATAATTTTTCTTTTATTTCATGCTTTTTAAGTTATTTTAAGTATTTATTTTACTAATTGGCCTTTAACGACGCGCATTCTCCTTTATGACGTTATCACATCATGACGTCACATCATCAATTTTGAAATTTAGTTCTGTTACATGTCTCTAATTTTGTTACAATTTTAACACGATGTATGATGACATCGACTTTCTTTTCCTATAGAAGCAAAAGTTAGGTAGGCGGCATTTATTTTGCCTGTTATTCCATTTAGATATGATATTCTATTCATCCGCATTCAGAAAATAATCATCTGATATACTGTATTAAAGTTAAAACACCGGAAAGCATGAAATAAAAAGTGAATTTCATTTTCATCAAAGACAAGGAAATTATGCAGAATTAGAATTCGGTAAAGATTTTAAACAGGTTCTATCATATAGGATTACCATATAACCCTCGTCTTGTGCCTATGTTTTTGAGGGCGAATATATTTCGATCATTACCTGATAATTATTAATGCTTGCAATTTCAACTGATTAAGAATTTTACTAATTCAAACAGGTTTTTATATGGTCTGTTACATATGCTTATAGTCTTACAAAATTGAGTTTTGTTTTATTATTTCAGACGATGACTACAGTAGTGATGAGTTTGACGATGACTGGGACGATGACTAGGCAAAAGGCTCGTGCAAATGGATTGTTTAATAGCTTAACAACATACTAGGCAAATCGTTTATGCATATCTCAGCACAGTGCATGAAAACACTTTATTCAATATATTAACATAATTTTATTTCACACATTTGAATAACAATTTTCTAACATTTTCCAATTTTGAATCAATGTAGATCTAACACTGTTAGTCTGTATTGGATTTAAATATGTTTAGTTTTATTATTATGACGAATGAAATTGTCATAGGTTTAAATTGAGGTGCTGGTAGTACAGTCTGTTCATTCTTTAATTTCATTAAACCATTAATTTTGTTGCCAGTATGAGCCAGTGTTATACATATGTGACACTCACATTTATTAAATCTTGTGTTCATTGAGAATAACACTTCTAATGCCTTGAACAGCCTGCAATAACTAAAGGATTGGAATGACACGTTATTATATGTCATATAACATATAACAGGCAACATGCAGAGACAGGTACAGTTGAAAACACTGTTCTATTTGTCCATTTAATTAAGTTTAAAATATTTTATATTTTGTTAAATTATATTCTTTGTTTGTTTGTGTTAATAACTGATTGATATTAAAAAGTTATGTTTTCATATAAAATTCCAATTTATCGTTACCTGCAGCCATCATTCACTTAACTCCATAAGATTTTTTCTACGATACAAGTCGTCACATGCACATTAAGCACTTACTTATTCATATACCAGAAAGGAAAATATGTGTTAAATGGACTAAGAACATATGAGGAAATGGAAAAAATATCGCTGAATGTGTCATTAATGCCCCGGTCACATATTCACGGATAAAGCCACGGAAGAGCTACGGTCTAATCGGATTTCTACGGAAATGTGTAATTCCGTAGTCAGCTACGGTTCCAGTACGGAAACACAACGGTAAGAGTACGGAGTTCGACGGATTTGCCGCCAAAATGTAGGTAAAAACCCCGGGGGAGGCACGGATTATTACGGACCGACACGGTTTGGTACGAAGCAATACGAATCAGGACGGACGCACTACGGATACACTACGGTCTGCTACGGTATAAGCACGGGTTAGTACGAATAAATACGGTCTGATACGGAGAAGAACGAATTGCCACGGATCTATACGGACCTATCATATCCATCCACAACCTCTTGCATGCTCATTTTCAAAATGCCTCACAAGACAAGAACATCTAGAAAACGATTTGCAGAGATCAATGATTCAGACAGAGAGGATTCGGTCTCATTGCGTCGGACCTCTGAGACATATCAGGTCCGATTCTCGTGAATTTCCTGTAGGACGCCGGATCCTCAGTAAAAATTTCGACTATGAGAGCCTCATAAAGGGGTCTTCGTAAAAGCCAGTCTCAAGTCCACCATCTCGTCTGTATTCTCTTACCTGATTAATATATAATAATTAAAGAAAAGAATTGATCAATAAGAATTGATCAATAATGCATCTCTTTTGATATTAAAATGGCTGTTCATTTTACAATTGCACAAATTATCATGAATGTTTATGTTTTAACAATATGTAAAAAGTTTGATAATTAATCTTATTATCACTCAAGGGCCAGCGTCCGAGGCTTAAGAGGCTTATGAGACACTTCGTTTTATGTACCTATTTACTCCAATTACACTATCCAATGTTATAAGTAACTTTTAATGTTATTCTTTTACTAGTGCAAACCTCTATGCATGTTATCAAGCAGCTTGGCCATTGCCTCCGCCAATAAACAGTTGAAGGCAGTAGATGACAAATGTCTTTCATTGAATGTTCATGAATATGTTCGCAACGTGAAAACGTGAAAACGCAAATATGTCTGTTTTTAACAAGAAGGTAGTATTTACCCCTTGAAAAAGTACATGATACTTAATTTATCCGTCTGAAAGCGTCTTAAACAGTGGTGGACCGTACACGGTTTTCGTACGGACAAGTACGTATTAGTACGGTTTAATACGGACCAGTATGGATACGCTACGGTTGACTTTTCTGTAGCAAATTTTTGTGCATGTTCAAAAATTGTCAAGGATAGCTACGGATATACAAGGACTACTACGATTGATTACGGTTACAATACGGAGAGTTACTTACTAGCACGGGTAGCTACGGACGATGCCGGAATTAATCCGTGGCTCTTCCGTGGTCGTATTCCATGAATATGTGACCGGGCTATACGATAGCAAATTGTATACAAAGCGGCATTGTGAATACTTAATCACACAATCCAAAAAACGCAAACAAAACAAACTGTGGTTCAGCTCGATTTCCAATCGTTATCATCTTTTAACAAAATAGGACGTCAAAATAAAAAAGTTTCTGAGAAATAAAACTAAGATCTTTTTTTAGGGTTTTGCAAATCAAATATTATCTGCTCGAGATACTCACAGTTCACTTAACCCACTTATAAACATTTCAACATAGTGAAAAGTGAACTATTTAAGCTCGACTGAAAAAGAACGTGTTTGTATCGAGTCTTACTAGTATAGGTGTCATTATATCTAACAAAGCAATACGGTTATTACCCGAGTAAGGGCAGAACTCATACGATTTCTAACACTCCCTTGAAAAAATTAATGAAAGCATACTCGTATAAAATTTAAACTTAAGCTGTAAAATCACCACAAATATTTGACAGATTTCTGTTTATCTTACTGTTTGTATTTTATTTTTAAATTTAAACACGTTTTAGGCATGTTAGTATGTAAATTTAGCTAGTGTTTAGGCAGCATGGACTACAGTGTTCTAAGTTTTTAACCCAAAAAAACGAGAAATAAATGATATGCCTTGTATTTGTAAATGTTCATCGTTAGTTTTATAGGATTTCAAATGTACACAATAATTACTAATTGATTAACTAATTATTGTTTGGCTATAATCGAGTTTGTACTGTTGAATTGATTTTTTATCACATTTTATTTCCAAAGCTCATAATGCTGTGGGTTCGAATCACGACAGGGACTTTGGATTCTTTCATGACAGGAAGTAAGCTAGCTTACGGAAAGTCGATAGTGCTTCTATAAAAATTGTTAACGTAGGAGTGATTTTGGGAAAAGATCCAACTAAACGAGCTCTTACAGTATGTATTAACTGTGAATGTACTCCTGTAAATGAATCACCAGGAAAGAAGCATTTTGGAGTAGAAGTGAATATCATTAATGTGTTTGCTTCAAACGAAGATGTACATATATTAGTAAATTTTTGACAAATATTATTACATAATTTTATTCTTGTTTTTTTTTATTAATTCCGACATGCTGCTTTTATTCCTTACCAGGTACTTTCTGTACTTGTTGGTTTAAATTGCTGTTAACTTTATAAGCGCACATTTACGGATTCCAAATTTTGTAAGAATATTTGAGTCAAGTTTCAAAAAAGGCTGTTTAAAGCCTATAAATGTTTAAAAAGCTATTGCTTTATTTTAATAAGTCATGAATCATCTTTTGTTTCTTTTGCACTTTAGTTATTAGAAGTTATAGTAAATAAGTATTTTGTATGGAAGTCAACATACCAATTTGTTAACATTTTGCTGCCGTTAGCAGAAGTGATGTTAAGTTTTACGCTGTTTTCATCAGGTGATGTTCATCTCACATGTTAAATCTATTTAAATTTATTTATATAAATCTATTATTACAAGATTTTAAACTCATTTTTGCACTTTCGACAGACTAAATAAATATTCATTTCTGAGGCATGATATGCCTTTTAACCTGTCTAGACTTCTTGTGTAAATGATCAGACAAATGCACTCTTTTTAAATGCATGAACTTGCAAGATATGTTGTGTATCTTAAAATTTACCAAATCTAATAGATATATGAAACAGGTTATTGAATCTGATAAAGTATCTATGGGTTCCCTCATTCTTTCGATAATTAACTGAAATGAATGAGTATATTATAACATGGAGGGAATGATACGATTTTGATAAACTTTAACAAAAGCACTCAAAAATGAATATCGATTTCTGTAAAAGTAGAGGACAGATCGCAAGCAATATTGACCAACACAAAATCCTGAGTGTACTCATATTTACAAGAGGGCCATGTTTTCTACTCAAAACAACGGAACACACTAAAACTGTAGACAAAGCCAACAAAAAAATCGGTAACACATCATTGCTTTTATATATCAAGCCAGCTGTACAGAAATGAAGAATATCTTAAACAGGCCAAGACATCAACATACAATCCTGCCGAGAACGCACCAGAAAGCAATTCAATACATATCTAAAATATGGTTATGATATGGCTATGCTACTCTGAAGGGGAGGGCATTACCACTTTTGGAACTGTAAACAACGAGATTTTATAAACTTATATAAACAAGGTAAAGTTTTACAGCTATTAACATTATTAACACTATCAGCAATCAATTTAGTTGGAGAACAAACATTCATAGTAAAGCATATCTGAGGCCTGTGAACCATGTTTCCTGCAATTAAACATTCTACAACAGTTAACACTGCCTTGTAAAGTTCATTTATTCTTTAGTGAACAGCTTAGTTAAGACATTTGTTATCTGTGATGAATTATAAAAGGTTTGTCTAAAATAACGAGTCCTCCCATTTGCATAGACACATCACTTAAAAATGGCACTTTCAGTAGATTATGCAGTGTTCGTGCTATGATTATTGATGAGCTAAACTAATTTGAATATCATTAGGGAATGAATATACATTAGGGAAAAATACATTGAAGCGAAAATGCTGAGTACGAAAAAAAGATTTTTGATTGTTGTGGCGTTTCCGATAGTATGAGACTTTGTTTTTATTGATTAACAATCACTTAGCATCTGTCTATTCAAATGTTAGTAAAGGCAGGGATATTTCGGTCGAGTATCTTTTTAAAGATACTTCTTGTTCTTAATTATATAGGTTCATAACTCCTATAATAAAATGTGCAAACGAAACGAAATGGTTTTTTGGCCTCGGTATATAAAGAAATATTCCATTGTCATTATATTTTGAGAAAATTGAGTTCCGACCAAGCCGGTGCTAGGGGGCGTGAAGGATGATGCACTTTTTCATAATACCTCATGAACAGACTTTATCAAACTGCAAATTTCATGTAATATTGTTGTGGTCAATGCTCCCGAAGAATCGTCTTCCTCAAGATTTAGAGATAACTAACGCTATCATTGTCAATTGGTGGCATTGAATAATGAATCGAGGTTCTCACAATGATTCTAGTTATAATTTGATAAACAGGTTTGTGTTTTCGATGCAATTTTTTGTGTCATGACATTTTTTAATTCACCTTCTATTTGGTTGCACTGATTTTTGTAAAAAGACCTATAAATATTCGAAAAGTGTTTTTTTTTCAGTGCACCGTTGTAGGCAACATGGTCTTTTTCTCACACAGCGGTGAAGAAACCGAATTAACCGTACGGTTTAGACACTAAAAGAACAAATATTTCTGTAAATTTATATCCAAAGTGAATTTTCTTCACAGCCAGTACAGATAGACTCACAGTATTATTTAAGATTTGTCACTGGAATTAACATATTTAAATACTATTTATCGGATGTTTTCTCAAGTCAACATGTCCATTTTACATTGAAAAGCACCGCAGAAAACTGGTACACAATCGCCTGTAACTTTACATTGTGCAACTTTGCTGTCTCG